ATGGCTTTCTTTGCCACTGGAACTCTTCTTTTTAAATGTTCTTTTTCAGTGACCACAGATGGTCAACAGTGTACTTTTTAGTGACCGCAATGGTCAGGCGGTTTGCATGGAATCTTTAAAGTGGAATCGCCGTATAAGGCCACTTGGCTTTGCCATTCCCTCTCATTATCACCAGTCTAATTGCTGTACGACAAAGCAGGTAAACACATGGCAGGCGTGTGCAGAAACAGCGTGTGTCACCTGGTGTTCTGTTGCATGCTCAGGCGTGTAGCACCGCCGTTGGAGGTGGTCTGACTGGAGGGGGGGGGGGGGGGGGGGTGCCCCCCGGGAAGTTTTTGAAATTAGTAGGGGTGAAACGAGTATATCGAATACTCGAGCGCTCGCTCGAAAATTTGAAACGAGCGAGTACTCGTTTCACAAAATACTCGAAGTATCCTGTGTGCAGTGTATTGTATGCATATACATCAAGCATTTCTGCTACTCTGACTGGGACTGATAGTCCATGCAAGCACGAAATTATTGCTTGTCCCTACTTACCAGCGAAAGACAGTAGTTCAGACTATTTCCTGCACCATGCTGCATGCAAGACTACGTGTGTATCGGGTGTACTACGTTCGGTGGGGGAGAGTGTGTGCAGTGCATTGTATTATGTTGTCAGTAACACTCGTACTCGCTCGAATACTCGCTGGTTTTTTCAAAGAGTACTCGAGTCCCTAATTTTGGCACTCGTTTCACCCCTAGAAATTAGGGTGCAAAATCCTGCATTCTGGGCACCTTTGGCATTGTGTTAAAAAAAAGTGGTCCGGCCAAAGCCGGACAGGCTGCTACGCCCCTGATGCTGATGCTGGCGTTGGTGTATGAGTACACGTGCCTGCTGATCTGTGTTCCATTACCAGACTACAAGAAGAAGGAGGCATCCATCGAGCGCTCGACCAAGGAATCAAACGTGCAGCACCAGTGTGTCTCTATGATCTTGAACGATGTCGTCAAGAAATTCCCTCCGCAGGTTGTGTCTTCGGAGCAGGTAAGCCTTACGGGAAAAGCTTTAGAACACTTTGAATCCTAGCTTCGTGTATATCACTCTGCACAATGTAGCAGTGGCGTGATCGGCACATGCAACCAGTTACACATTAACTTCAGGAACTTGTACACTATTCAAAGGATCTTTCTTATCATTGGCAAGCAAATCCTGCGATAGAGTTTGCATGATTTAGTCTGTAGATAGTAGTTGGGTGGACACACCCGCTCCCGAAGCACTGCACAGAACCGAACCAATTCTTACCGCACGCGTCGGCGATGTTGCCATCGTCAGGTACGAATGAGACAATAGAGAGGTTTCGCTTCACGTTGTTCTGCACTACACCGTGAAATTTCACGTCGGTGTGGCAAATTTTGGCGTCGAAACTCCCGTTCATGACGTGAGCTGAGGTCAACTCACGTTCGACGTGAACGCGAGTTTTTCAAATTTAGCCTTGCTATCAGGTTGGGATTATTGACTCGATTTTGTCGATTTTGCCTAAACTAGCTATAAATAATATTTGTGCGACTTTGGCCTCACCAAAAATCACTTTTTTCACTTTTTGAAGTTTTCGCTCCCGTTCCTGTCGTCAGCGAAACGGCGTGCTTCACAAGCAACGTGAAACGAAAGCTCTTTCTGAGCTCGCGTCGACGCAAAAAATTGACGTTCACGCAAGAGCACAAATCACGCGGGTCGAAACCTCTCTAATGATGCCATGCAGGCCACCATTGCATCTCACACGATTGAGTCCCTCTGCAATACTGGCGCAGATGTTTGTGAACTGCTTAGTCCAGGCACTGCTGTACTGCATTGTCAGCTCAGCATGTATACAGTAGCCCGTATGCCTGTGTTGTTTGGTCTGTTGTTTCTCTTCTTCTGCGTAGGCAACTACCGGCGAAGCTAAAACACCCGCAGCTGCCAGCTCCAGTAAGGATTATTGGTAGTAGATAAGTGCTAAGTGTGACTGTGTGTAGTTCAGGTCTTGCCAAGTACAGTTGTGCTGGGTGAAATCAGACACGAAGTGCGTATTTCGCACCCTGAACTTGCACAGCCCTTGACGCCCTGGAACTGGTGTGAATGCTGCTAGACGTAAACACAAGTGATGTAATCGATACTGGTCCAGGACGCTAGCTTTGCACTCTGGGTCGGATTTCAGTGAGCGCAACCGTACATCTAGTGCATGTTTTTGGAAGGGAGAAAAATAGGATGGTGCTCATGTACTGCTTTAAATTGGTGCTGACATGCTTCGGTGGGATAAATAGCGGGAAATTCTGCCAAAAAAAAACAGGAAAAGGCAGAAAAAAATGTTGGCAGTACTTGAAGTACATGTAGAAAACGATAATTATAGGAATGGGTACCATGATTATTAATTATAGGAATGGGTACCATGATTATTATGAAGTTTAGCATCACTAATTTGGCTTTTTGAATTTTTCTTTCGCTGTTTGGTACTGAAATGCAAACTGTCACATTTTCTGTACTGAAAAGTGACAAGCGGTCGGAGCACACATCGCAAATCCGTGCCAGGACAGTCGTAAATTTGACAACGCTATACACCCATATCTCTCTCTTACTGGGGCGATCTGGGACCAGGCACAGCCCGTAACTCAGAATCCCGCACGTTTTGATGGGGAAGTGCCAGAGACCTGGCATATGACGTCACTGTTTCCACGAAAGTTGGCAAAAGGGTAGTAATATTTCCACTAAAACTCACCCACAGGGCGTTGTCTGGTAGACCGAGGTGCCCGTAACCTTGAAGTGCGGATAAGAGAGATATGAGTGTGCTGCCTGTACTTTAAATACTACCAAGTACAATTTTGCGTTTTGTCACCATCATGCCAGCACAAATACTGTTTTTTTAGTCGTCTATGAAAGGCGACCTTCGTCACTTTTGGCTTATTTGACATATCGGCATGGCCTTGTACACAGAATGTGTCATGCTACACCTCATACATAATTGCGTGCGTCCAACAACGTACTAGTACATCGTCCGCACACAAGGGAATAATAACTCAAAGCATGCTCATTGTTTCACAGTATCATTGCATCGGTAGTTTTCTCCATCCATTGTCACTGCCGTCTGAACGTATCATTAGTTTTCTCCATCCATTGTCACTGCCGTCTGAACGTATCATTAGTTTTCTCCATCCATTGTCACTGCCGTCTGAACGTATCATTAGTTTTCTCCATCCATTGTCACTGCCGTCTGAACGTATCATTAGTTTTCTCCATCCATTGTCACTGCCGTCTGAACGTATCATTAGTTTTCTCCATCCATTGCCACTGCCGTCTGAACGTATCATTAGTTTTCTCCATCCATTGTCACTGCCGTCTGAACGTATCAGTAGTTCTCTCCATCCATTGTCACTGCCGTCTGAACGTATCAGTAGGCTTCTGCATGCAAATTGCTTTTGCAACAGCTTGATGATTCGTGTGTTTTACTAAATTGTGCGGATGGCCGACTTGCTCCTGTTCAGATGAAAGCGGCGAAGGCCCTGGTGCACCTTCCAGTACAGAGGCACCCAGCGCTGCACAGGCATCGGTGTCGACTTCAGCTTCTGCTCAGATCACATCTGTGAAAAGGTCTGCAGGTGAGGACAGCACCGAGGCACCTGCTGCAAAACGTTCCAGGCTGGCGTGAGGCAGGCATCTTCTCTTTTACTTTACCTCCCGTTCCCCCCCCCCCCGTGTTATGGTTTTTACTGCATCTGTACAAAGAAGTTTTTTATATTATTATTTCAGTGTCCTTTCTAGTGTATATATGACATGCAACTTTTAACTTAATTTTTTGTTCCATTGTTCGTCCTCCTATTCTCCACTCTGTATTATAGTTGTATTTCCAGCTTGACTGTTTATAATAGGTCTAATTCGCTTTCTTGAAGAGATTTTTACCTCCCTCAGGTCTAATTCGCTGTTAAGCGGATTTCTTGAAGAGGTTTTTACCTCCCTCTGTTCATGGTGTTGTTTATTTGCGAATTTGTGTCATGTACCCATATTGACACATGTGTAATCAAAAGCTTGATTGCAATGAAGCAGGAATCAGTCATGTGAAGAGTGCATAACCCCTGGGCATGGGGCCGGGGGTTGAATTAAACCATCCAATTTGGTTGCCGGAGTTACGAGTATTGGTGTTGAGTTAAAAAAAAACCCGGCTTAGGTCATCCCAGAAACTTGTGTGTCAGGTGGTCTCTACGTAGTGCTGGTAGTAGTACTGGTAGTAGTGCTGGTAGTAGTGCTGGTAGTAGTGCTGCCTGCTGGTAGTAGTGCTGGTAGTCTACATGATTGTATAATTCCACAGTGTATAGTACAGTAAAACCTGTGACTAACGACCACCCCTTGGGCCCAGAGAAAGCGGTCTTAAGTGGCAGGTGGTCCTTAGTTAGAGGTTTGCACCGCACAACCATAATGTGAGACCGTCGGTGCCTGGATACGTGGTCTTTTAAAAATAGACTTTAGTGCCAGGCTGGTCGGCGGTCGCTAGTCACGGTGGTCTTTAGTTACAGGTTTTACTGCACATGCACTTGTCTTAGGGTGAACTCCATTGCCATTGTGGCATTGGTCGAGGAGTCATTGTTTAGGTAGGCGCACACAGTGTAGTCATTGCAAGCGACGGTTCTGGCAGCATCCTTGTGTGACACATTACATAGGTATTTGCGCACGCGAACACCAGGAGAGATTCCTAGGCTCATTGTTTCTTCACTCCCCGTTTACTCTCAATTGTTAGTATCCTAATCTCTTACTATGTGCTTCCATAGCCTTTGCTATGTTCTTCCATATAGCCACTTCTAGGCTAAGCCTTCGCCATCATTCTATAGGGTCGTCATCCCGTTTGAATGTGCGAAGTAAAATAAAAACCAACACTGTGACAACAACAACTTACTTCACTCTACTTACCCAGGTTATCTAATCTTGTTCTTAAATCTTTTCTCCCTTTCCATCATCATCATCATCATAACATTGGGCATGATTGCCCGTTTGACTTGCGATGTAAAATAAACAAAATACCGGCAACACACCGGCTGGCACTCAAGGGGGCGCTTCACACAACCTGACAAAGGCACTCCTCCAAGTTGAAATAGTGCAACATTTCGGTCATCAGAAGTTCAGGAATGAAGTGGACATTGGAAAGGAGGTCACCAGGGTAAGTTCTGTGCCAATGGGATTCGCAGCACAAAACAAAGACGGAACAGAGACAAAACTTCACAGAGCAGGACCGAGACAATTGGCAGAATTGGTAAGTGCTGAATACACCGTTGCTGGTAGGAGAATGATGTGATAAAACTAAAGCGACAAAAGTAGATTCAGTGCGAGAACGGGAGCAAGAAACAGCAGCGTGTGTATGGTATGTATTCTTTATTAATTTTTACTTCACCAAACGAACGATGCCTTCCCACCAGCCACGGCTGGCGTGTGTGGACAAAGTCCTACTAGCGCAGAGAAGAAGCCACAAACGCACTCTTCAGCTTTAGTTACTGTTGGTTAGGCACTACCACAACTACACTTTGCTATCAGACAAACTGCTGATTCTTGCCGCTAACATGCTCGCTTAATCAGCAGCAGGCCCTCCCTGGTATGGCGCGAGGGAAGGTGTAGCTTAGCTGCCTCAGCCTCATCATGTATACCGCCCGGCCCGGGGACAAAAGGGTCCATTTTTATACTCCTTGCTTTCTACTTCTCAAGTTTCCATACACTGGACCGACTCTATGATCGTCAACCTCAGTGATACAATCTGTGTTGTGCTGATGGCTGTTCAGTTTCCGCCCAGCGACAAGAACTGTTTCCACCTTCTAAATCTTACTACAGTACTAGTTCTTAGGCCTCAGCCGCGGAGCTCAGAGTGACTGGTTGGACCGATCGCAATGAAGTCTCATGCTCACTGTCTACTTTCCTGCAACACAGTCTATAATACACTAGGCGCATGGACTAACAGCAGCAACAAGGAAGGTGCGTGGCCGTGATGTGCAGACTGCAGCTTTGCAGTTTTCTCGCGGACCATCCCGTTTTGGAAAATGCGCTTTTTAAGAGTTCCACAAACATGGCGAAGAAGGTAAGATTACTAAGAACTGGCTGACAAGCACCACTACTGAGTAAAAGAAGATAACTAAAACTCATTCATTCCATTCATTCCTTTAGACTTTATTTGAAGGATTCTCCAAACTGAACAGGAAACTTGTATGCATAAAGAGTGGGGTTCTGAACTCTTCGTCTTCTCACTCAGCAAGTAGCATCCTGTCCGTCGTGTGCCTCCTAACACTATAACGATGGCCACCTTTGCACGTGTCCAGCTCACCTGAGCTGCCCATCACGGTGCACAATTGTATACTAATAGTACCGGTAGCATAACACAAGTGCTTCCCATGTGGCACTGGCAGCATGCAGTGCAACAAACGTTACAAAGTCAAAGAGGCTCGTGGTCAGGAGTCAGGACATGTCCACAGGAAATCCTCTGCACGTACATGCAGCTGTCCCTAGAACTACATTGTAGTAGTAGAAGGACATCGTAGTCTGTGACTCGTGTGAGGCATCTTCGACTGCCAGTGTACACCAGTTGTAGTTCCACACACCTGACTCCTGAGTGCTCAGATCAAGTAAGTAAGTTAGTTCTGTGCAGTGTGACTGTCCAGTGAGGCCGAATTTGCGGACCGCACATCAACCTTGGTACTTCGAAGTACAACCTGACGCCCTTGGTGCAGCGGAAACTGTCCTGATATGACAGGATTCCGCTTGATCCAGGGATGCAAGTTCGATCTACAGCACTTTTGGTGCAAGACTTGAAATGTGTCCGCTGAATACAGGACTCTACATGGCACATTCAGTACTTTCAACGGCACCATCGCAGCCATGCATCTAGCGCATGATCATCATTCAACTAATAAGCACACAGTCACTATGTTACGTGGAAACATTTCAAAGACGTTGAACGAACCGAAAAATGTCCAAAGTACGGAGCATTGAAAAGAGTGTACCTGTATTCAGGGAAAACACTTCAAAACAGAACGGGATATTATTGATAGGTTAATATCCAATCCAAATCGAATGCGACATTCGGGTGGGTGGTTACCAACAGCCAGTGCATGCCGGAGTATGTGGTGTGATGTGTGTGCGGAAAAAAAGAATGAAAAAAGACCAAAAAGTAGGGATTCACTGGCCAGAAAAAGCCACTTCATAGCTGTGTGCTACAGTGTGTGGTGTAGACCAGGCTGAATAGTGGCGGTCAATTCTTCAGCCTTGCAAGCTGTTGAATGGTGCAATCCCAGCACAAGCTGCTATGGCTTCTGCCGTAGCATCGCTATCATCGCCTCCGGCGATGGGCGTCCAATGGTCCAATGGTGTGTGTGTGTGTGTGTGTGTGTGTTCTGTGGAATGCGCGGTTTGTACTGTACTTGGGCACACACGCACGATGTCCTCGCCGCAGCTACAGGTGCCTAGGGACCGCGATGTCTGTCGGCGCCATTGCTGGTCGCACGTTCGTCAGAGGTGGTAAAACTGGGGCCTCACATGTCAAACACAATGTGACAATGACGTGTAGGGGCCGGAATAGCTAGCCCTCCGCGTCTGCCGGCGATCTACTCGTACAATCATGTACATAGTGCGCCGCCCGTGATTACAGAGCGCGTGTAGATGTGCGTAACTCTACGTGACTGGTCGACAGCGCCATATATGGTCAGCCATCAACTACGAATACTTAGTGAGCAAGAATAGAAAAATTAATAATACAATGCGTAAGCTGTTGATATCAGCCATGCACAGCTACTCAGTCGAACAGTCTGCCGTATACCAAGGTATACATGTACGCGTCTGGTATAGGGGCATCAGAGCTAGACGAGTCTTGAGCCTGTGCAAACGATGCCTCCTAGTCTTACATGTACGTCTCACCTGGACCTCAACATACAGTAATGTACATGTAGCTCATAAGCATTCTATCTTTCTGCGGCTGGGACGCTCCTTTCAGTACCCTTGCTTTCCCGGATCGACGCCTGCCATCACCTCCCACACGCGCACGTACATGTACCTGCCACTCGTAGAATCTACACTACTCACTAGCACTGTCATCATGGTCATGGGCTCTCAACACTACACTACAGTAGTGCATGTATGAACACGGGGCCGCACTGGGGCTCGAGTACTAATAATATGGCAAGACAATCATTCTTGATGAACTCGACATGCCTGCTTCACTTATTACACAGTGGATCTTTTGTTCACGCTGATCCGGTCCATGGATCCAGATCAGCGATCTTCCCATTTCCCTAGGAGAAGGCCAGATTGCCGGGCTCAGCCCGCTTTCTTATGCATATCATCATGAGTACACAAGCAGGTTGTCCCTTGAAGTAAGTTAACATGTCAATAATGATCTAAATAATTTAGATCATTATTGACATGTTAATTACATCATGAAAGGTGCATGCAGCATGCATCCTTGACCTCGGCCCTATTCTATGTGCACGCCACCACGGAGCGGATGAGCTCCGCGAGACGGTAGGGTGGACACATGCGTTCCAGAGTCACGTCCGAGTCCGAGCTGCACTGGGACGGCTATGGCAGCATGCGGAACCCAGTTCGCTAGTGCAGCGGGCAGGATCATGCAGTGCTATCTTGAATATGGTGTAAATATTGACATGGGACCGTTGTGGATCGTTGAAGAAACAGTTGGAGCCGCCCCTCTGACCTCATGCGGAGAAGACGTGCAGACCGGCTCGGACTGTTAGAGAGGACGCTCATTGTGAGCGGAGTGACGGTTACCGGACTGGAACTCTGCAACAAGAAGGTACAATGTAGGTACAATGTAGGTTACTGGTACGATGGAAGTGCTACACCTAGTAAGCAGTATCAGACCTATGCGGCTCACTAAGGACATTTGGCTATACTGCATACAGTACTGAGTATAGCAATATTACATCGTCCGCGCACAGTCACTGCTATGCGTCACTGTTGACGGTCAGTACATGTAGTACGGGTGGCATTGACGTATTGCCACTGTTCTCAGTCTAAGTGGAGTTAACCTCTCAGTGTAAACTTTGAGTAGCACTAGCAGGAGTGCGAGTGGAGTAGGATCAAGACAACAGCATACAACAGTAGCATGTCTGTATATGTATGTATGCAATGATCGACTACGGCCGCGACAAACTAGTAGTAGTAATCACAACTTTTGCTTTGCCAAAGCACACCACTGCCACCACCGACACCACATGCACACTGCTAGTGCATATTGAAGCTTCCCATGAAAATACTCCGGAGTCCGACGGCCGCCGCACTGTATAAGATAACAGGCCAGATGTCAAGTCACTCCTGCTAGTCGTGTTCAAAAGCAGCCGAAGCAAGTCTTCACGGGCTACCTGCTGATTTTACGTTCACGTCAAGCAGCTCCGACCATCGCTAGACTTTGGTGTCGATAATAGTATAAGATCAGAACGTATTGAAGATTCTCAGCATTTGTGAGAGGTGTGTGTTGAGCATTGACAAGCGAAAACCTCACCGTCTTGCTTTCAGTTGAAAGGAAGAGAGGACTTTTGTTTCGGCGTGGATTGGATAGTCGAGCAGTGCCTGGAAGCAAGCATAGTGGTAGCCAGTGCTGCTCGGTTCGCCTATATGCTACAACTGATTCGATTAGCTGAACAGCGGTGAGGGAAGGTCACAGAATTACTGTAACCGGTACAACAACTCAAAGATCCGCTGTGTGGTCAATCGTCCTAGGGACGACTTCCTTCTTACCAGTCAGAATGGCTCTGAAGCTTGCACCCAACATGGCATTTGTGTCCTACCGCACTATTTCTTCTAAATTTGTCACCGTCATCTGCCTTCTGATGGCCATAACAACTATACAGGCGCTTCCGGGGTAAGAGATGGAGCCGTTTTTTTGTCGTTGTGCGTTCGTGTGTTCCCCTGCGTGCGTGTGTTTGAGCGTGTTTGCTTACCCGTATAACATTATAATGCGTGCATTGGGGTGTGTGTTAGACTTTTCAAAGCGCGAAGACTTCGCTTGTTTGAGGACCTGCTGTAGGTGTTCGTCCAGCCATGTATTTGATGGGAGTTTGTTGACAACATTGTCAAGCCGGAAAACGGGACAACTACCTGGTAGCGTGGCACGGAAATGTAGCCGTATAACCATGATGTAGACAGATACATGTCGTGATTGAGATCGGATGAGATGGTATGCATCATGCCCAAATACCTCTTGGCACAAACTACTGGCAACCATTCGGATTATTGAATACGCACGAAATCATGTTCGGTGCGCAATCATTGTCTCTTTCAGGCCAGAGTTTGTCTTTGTGCAGAAGCTTCCTCCTCCCCCCCCCCCCCCCCCTCCCCCAGCTTCTTGGCCCACGGCTGGGTTCCAGTTAGAAAAACTCCTCGTATCATATTGCGGACTAATTGTCCCCTGCAGCACAGCCCGTTAGTTGCTCAGGAAAGGTCTGGGCGCAGCACCATTGCCAATGCATTGGGATCGCCCGTACTACAGTATTGTTTTCTGATGAATGATTTGGTACTGGGCAAGATCGTGCCGATCCCATAGAAAACTGCTTCCTGCGTCCTGTAAGGATGGAAGGAGGGTCGTGATTCTCTCGCAGTGCTCCAAAACCACTAATCTCACTTTTCATACTCGGACCTGTTAATTAACCATCCCTTGGTTGTTGCTTGTCTCTACGTCTCACCATGGCATGTGCATGTATCGGTATTTGTTATCTTACAAACACGCGAGCAGATTGTCATCACTTTACCATTCATCGGGCCACTCAACACCTAGTCGTTAGCTCTCTTGCTCAGCGAGCAATAAACGGGAGTTCGCCCTTGGGTCAGGATCTGCGCTAAAATCGATCGCTTGGCATTTGCAGAGATGCAAATCATCAGCCAATCAAAAAGCAAAGGGCCTACAAAAACTTAGAATCCCGGTACCACATTGCTTATCCTACAACACCTGGCGGTGGTAAAACGTCCCGACCGGACTTGTCATCTGCATAGTGCTTTATGATGACTTTCAGACAGGTGCGTGTTCATTTTGCGTGTGTGTTCGCCCGCTGAGCGTCAACCGCTATACCAGTCGACCAACTGAAACTTGTTCATTGTTTGATGTCCATGCATATCCGCGCCCTACAATGCACAGACAGCACTCCTCTTGTTGTGGCTGGATGTGAATTTATATTTTACCTTCCGTGCGACGTGCTCACTATAAACGTGACAGCAAAAGAAAGAAAAATAGACAGAAATGAAGTGTAGGATGCTCGAGGTTTCTTGGATCTGTCTCGTCACGATGCTCTACTCTACTTGTCCTTTCAAGGACAGGAGATTCGCACCGGATGTGGAGCAAGATCATGGCAATCAGCCACCCCAGGCGTCATCTTCTGATGTGCCCAATCCCATTGCAAGTTACTTGCGGTAGTGTCCCGTTGACATTATGACGTTTGGGGATACTGCAATAGTCGTCATGTAGATATGTGGGGTGGATGTAGACTTGAGAATGGTCAAGACAAGCCTGAGACGATCCATTCCTGTGGCCGTGGCAGCTTCAAGTTGCTGCTACACTGACTGTGGTTAATTCCAACGGTGATGTGTCCTCGGAAGGCAGCGTGTGATGCTGATGCACCCTTTCTCGAGCAGCAGCAGCAAAATGATGATGACTAGCATTTTCGCATATAATACAGAAGAAAACAGAGACGTACTGGTGGCAGGGGGACAAATGTCAAGAAACATATGCGATATCATGAAAGAAAGGAAGATAGTTATATTGACTGAAACCTTGAGTAAGAAACTTCCGACTGACTGTGTGAGACAGCAGTACGACTGAGTGTTGACCAGTGTTGCCATACGGAAAGAAAAGAATGGAGGAAATTTCACAGTTGATGTTGTACTAGTAGTAGGCGGCTAGCAGCCATTCTTGACTCTTTCACAGTATAGAGATGCTTTTGCACTGATTGAGACGCTCTTTTGCATTGAGACGCTCTTGCACGAAACGATCGATCTACTCAAGCTAATCATTCTCGTACAATTGTCACCTGGTGTAGAAACTACTAGAAAGCTACTAGAAAACCCTTGCCTGACGTGGTTGTGAGGAACGTGAACGGGCGCAGGATCTAGGACCTCCAAGTGCTGATACCGTACATACAGCTCTTTCTGTTGTACCCGATCTCCCTCTGATGTACCGCTGACTCTACGCTGAAGATCTAAGTATTTTAATTCTCATTCTCATTATAATTTTCATATTCGCTTTCATGTTATTGGGTTCTATGCCCGTTTGAATTTGCGAATCAAAATAAATACAAACAAACAAACTCTGACTCGAGCCTGGATCAACATTCCGCAATCCTCTCCCCGAGCGCTCTCTCTCTCTCTCTCTCTCTCTCTCTCTCTCTCTCTCTCTCTCTCTCTCTCTCTCTCTCTCTCTCTCTCTCTCTCTCTCTCTCTCCCCCCCCCCCTCCCTCCACCCCTTCCAGATGTTGGTCTGGTAAATGCAGTGGTCACGACAAGGTGCCTACACAGCACTGCATGCTCGGTGTTGAATTGCTCGCGGCGTGTCCGCTCCTTCCTGTATGGACGCGCAGCTGCAGCCTGTGCAGGGTTCAAGCGCAAGATCTGGCCTGGGTACTGGGTAGACTAGGGCAGTCCCTGTGACTGAGTCAGCAAGACAAGCGGTACAGAATGCCCGATCTATTCTACATGACTGTATTTGTGCCGCCCCGTGCCCTCCAACCACTGGACGCTAATCAGCACATTTAGGCGTGAGCCGAAAATGGTTCCCATCTGGGCAAAATAACATACTAGTTATCTCTAATTAAATCAAGCTGAAGCCGATCGACACCAAAGCCTGGCAAAGGCAAAGGAAAGATACAACGGCCATGTCGGTCGACATAATATGCATAAGCCTTTCCCGTTTCTTTCCTCAGGCGTCTGGAAGCGTTAAGTATGGAACAAAGGAGTGAGCTCTTCAAGTCCATATGAAACAATAGAAGCTCTCACAATCGTATGGCGTGGCTCTTCAATCGACTTGATCCACACTGTGATACACTTGCCGTTCGCCGTAGATCTACGTAGCCTGCCGTGTCTCAGTCTGGGCGTGCTGCAAGATTATTTACCTAATGTCCTTGGTTATGGTAGTGGAATTTGTATGCTAATCTAGAAAAGCACCCTTGACATGATGAACTGCTATACTGGCAATGCCTCATCTTCCGATCGTCGAACACTAGCAAAGCTAAGCATTCTATTGCATTGATGAGTTGTAGATCCACTTCTGTTCAGGGTGTTTTGATACTTGTCCCAGCACATGCGCCACGATGTTATGTGATCGACGACGGCCTTTGTTTTGGTTGTGTAACTAACTTTGGACTGGCGATTACCATTACTTTCACGTTGCAGGTTGAACTTTGCGCAATCGTGTTACATAATTATGTGTTTTCATTTCAAGTTCGCTACAATGGCAGATTGCTCTTGAACTTCACAGTATGGCTGCACCCTGCAGCAGTTTCGTCATTGAAGACTACTCGCCCAAAGCACTGTTCTCCTTGGCAAACGGCAATTATATACGAACCGCCTGGGGTGTGTGCCACATCCGAAAACAGTGCTACAAACACAAACATCAGCAGAGCCAAAAGCCTTGACTTTGTGCTTCATTTTTTGGCCTGCATCCGAGTCGCATACCGGTATTGCGGCACAACCACTCTGTTCAGCGGCGCCCCACAGTGACTCGACACATGCATGCGTGGAGCGTTCTGTGTGCTCCGCAGTTTCTGCGTCAGCTGGGCTTCTTCAAAATAGTTCAAGTCAGCTAGAAGTAACGATTCTAAGTTCTATCCAAGCAGCAAGGCTCTCCGGTATCTAGTATGCCATGGTTGATTGCCATGTAGGATGGCAGGTCTAAATAATAATGACCTTGAAAGAATAGAGGATACTACTACTAGCCCAGCCTCTCTGCAGCCAAGTTCAGGCAGTGTTACTGTACAAGCATGGCAGACCGGGAGCACAGCATATCGGGTACGTGCTGGATGTTGAAGATCCGCACATAATGGACGTTGAGTTTGTATTGCACATCGGAGCTCCCTACTTCGATAACTGTATCCACTAAACAGTCTATACCAACCCGAAACCGGGTTTTCTGTGCTCGAGATAGCATTTTCAGAACGAGTAGAATCTACCGGCCAAAGATAATTATTCTTTATTGAAGTGTATCTCCCCCAACTAATTACTTCATGAACGAGACTCGACAGGATCCCTGACTTGTCCACAAAACTCACAAGGAACTATTCTGCACCCACATGTAATGTATCCATTCGTTGCCCAGAACGTCCATCCATACAGAATAACTATGGGATGACCACGACGTTTTCCAGCGTGTGAGTCTCCCGCTCTCGCAGCGTAAGACGACTACATGTACTGATATCTCCGCCTGAACCTAGCTCAGTAGACACTCTACCAAGGCTTCAGGACTCCAGGCCAAGAGCAGAGAGGTCATGGACTCTGGACTGCATATGTCTACCTCGCTGCCTCTTACTCTTAGTCTTAGCATATGACCTAATGAGCGATAGACTACCAGTACACTGCGGCTCAATCAATGTCTAAGGCGAACAGAAACAGAGTTGTATTGTTGTATTCTAAGACCCAGGAATCCGGGAAAGAGTGACATATTTTCTCTGTTCATACCTCAATTTCACACAATCACACACCACTACTCAAAGCGGTTTCGCGGCTACACTTCTTCCGAAAATAACTCGGAATTTCTCTCTTTCCCTCTCTTTCTCCCTCTCTTTCCCTCTCTTTTTCCCTCTCTTTCTCCCTCCCTTTCTCTCTCTCTCCCTCTCTTTCTCCCTCTCTTTCTCCCTCCCTTTCCCTCCCTTTCCCTCTCTCTCTCTCTCTCTCTCTCTCTCTCTCTCTCTCTCTCTCTCTCTCTCTCTCTCTCTCTCTCTCTCTCTCTCTCTCTCTCTCTCTCTCTCTCTCTCTCTCTCTCTCTCTCTCTCTCTCTCTCTCTCTCTCTCTCTCTCTCTCTCTCTCTCTCTCTCTCTCTCTCTCTCTCTCTCTCTCTCTCTCTCTCTCTCTCTCTCTCTCTCTCTCTCTCTCTCTCTCTCTCTCTCTCTCTCTCTCTCTCTCTCTCTCTCTCTCACACCTCTCTCTCTTTCTCCCTATCTCTTTCTCCCTGTCTCTTTCTCCCTGTCTCTTTCTCCCTGTCTCTTTCTCCCTATCTCTTTCTCCCTATCTCTTTCTCCCGCTCTATCTCCCTCTATCCCAGTCCCTCTGTGACTATTTCCGCTTTGTATGCATCTAAAGCAAAATTGATTGCCTTCCTCTCTTGTCCAGGCGTCGCAGGCCACACAACAATGTGAACATGACGTTCATGGACATATGCTCCAAGATGGATACTGTCACTGCCCAAGTCCGGTGCTTCGCACGCAGAGGCGCAGTGTTAGCTGTGAATACATGCCAGGATGCTTTCTTCCAGGAGAAATGGAACTGCCCGGAGTCCTCTCTGGTGCCTATGCTGAAGGACACAACCAGTACGTCACGTGATGTAGCCGATCACTGTCACTTGTAAAAATGCATGTTTTCATTCAGATGTTATTTGAAGGATTGTCCAAAAGTAAATGGATACTTACCAGGGGAGTTTCTTGGAAGGGTGAGTGGAGCAAAGGGAAGTGAAAAGGGGGGTGGGGGCAAGGGAATAGACTTAGCATAAACACTGCCCAATAAAAACTAAAACCACTGGGGAGAAACAGAATACATGATGTACATGACACGTTTAGTCATGTCACCAGGGAGTACTAAACTACATGTTTTAGTACTCCCTGGTTGTCACCATCTGGCAGTATTGCTGTATAGTTTCAATTGCCACAGAAGGAATGAGGGATATAAATAATGATAATAATCATCATCCACGCAATACGTAACAATAGAACTGTCGGTAATATACAGTGCAGTGTTAGCTCTGTAAATCTCATTTGGTTCAGTGTTCTCTTTTTGTTCCTCTTGCTGTACTCTCAGATATGCCCCAAGCGGCATTCATGAAGGCACTGACCTCTGCCATGGTTGCCTACGAGATAGCACAGGGCTGTTACTATGGCTACACAAAGCTCAACTGCTACTGTCCCGTGGTGGCAGGGAAATCGGAGAAAGGAGTGAATAATGCATTTGAGTGCGCCCAAGTGATGGGATCGGGGGTTTCCGGGGCTAAATTGTACCTGGACACGGATCATATTGCCGAGCTGCTGCACCCCTTTAATAAGATATATCCGTCAGGCGGGGCCATACACTCCACGCAGGAGCAGGTGCGATTTCACAACAACCGAAAGGGACGAGAGGTAAGAAAACAGCACTTATAAAAATAAGACAGACTGTCTGCTCTTCCTTCGGAGTAGCAAAGGCTACGTTTCTTAAAATTAACATGAGCAGTTTGATTGCACCGCCACATTCCATTACTCAATGCCACTCCCTCATCTTGAGATGCCTGTTCGGTGATCTTCACTTGAAAAAAAAAGGACTTGATCTTCACTTGGCTAAGCTCAGTCCACCCACCATGGGTACAGCAGTACCCGCAAGGTCTGTGACGGATGCCGATGTTGAACACTATAGGGCCTAGATGCTGCACATTGGATCATACCCAGACTGTGTACCCAACAACATACGGCCCATGCAGTTCAGCAGCTGTCTTCTTGTAGCCTGTGGAATGTGAGCACAGCAGCAGCAGCAGCATTTTTTTTGTCTTTGCCTGTGAGCTGTGATCATTGTAAAAAAATAAAAAATAAAAAAATGTAGTACAATAGTATAATAATACTTAAGCCATCATTCACCCCAGTGTCTGGAGATATGTGGATTTTGTAGAAAAAAAAGAAAGAAAAAAGCACCAGGGCCTCCCCTGAGTATGCCAGCAATCCATGCCCAACCATCAGTGGATGGTAAACATTTGCCCGGCAAAGTGAGGAATTTCGATGTAGATTCCCCAAAACACTCGGTAGTAGAGTAAATGCGGCGTAGTAGGAATTTACTCAGCCAGGCTGTGCATTGCAGGATTACCTTTTTGTAAGTGTAATGCGTCAAGCAATATTCACTGGGGTCAAGTATGTTTAACCCCAACATCCCATCGACTGTCCAGCAATACAATGCAATGCAGCATCTCCCGTTTCAGTACTTAGTATTGGTTTACAAAGATGTAATCCATATTACATGTATGTAAATTTATGCCCATATTAATAGCTGGACTGAGTGTGGCTGAAAATGTCACCTGCACAAAACACCAAACCACATCAGTACGGCTGGTAGGGTTAAAAAGCGCTTCAAACACCAACAGCAGGACAACAGGATAGAATTGCTGTTAATTAACCCAAGGAGGTAACTTAACTTCAACACATTCAGCATTAAAGTACTGAGGGTGCACTGTAGGCATTCTCACCATACACGTTGAAAGCAGGACTCGGTCGTCAAATACTAGTACGGGTATTCGACAACTGCGTGGTGTGGTTGACAGTGGCGTCCTGGGTCAATATGCTTGTTTATTTGTTTGTTTATTTTATTTTACTTCACCAAGTGAACAGGCATTTCTGCCTTCTCACCAGGTCCGGAGACCTAGTTCCGACAAAAATGATGAAGAGCGATATTAGAACTCTGTCATTCTCTTTGCACTGAGCTCAGTGAACATTTGCCAGACTGGCTCAGTTAGAAAGAGAGTACTAAACTTGGTGTCTTTTTCCCTATTGTGTTCATTTCCTGGACTTCAGGTCTTTAAAAGAATGGCGCGGGTAAAGTGCACTTGCCATGGTCTATCTGGTGCCTGCAATCTGAAGACTTGCGTCAGAACCCCTGCGAGGCCAGCAGCCATCGCACGAGAGCTGCGACGCATGTACGACAATGCTCGCTTCATGCAACCACAGCAGGCGAGGAATCTGAGGCACGTTCGGCCAGCTCCCACCCAGCTCCTGTACACCGCACATCCGCCGAGCATGTGCCAACCGCTCCCGGACCTGGGTTTCCCTGGCATCCAGAATCGTCAGTGTACAATGCCCTTCAGCAACCCGGTTGCGTTTACCCTACTGCCAAAACCCGGCGCCTGCTCCGCCCTATGCTGCGGTCGAAACATATTGAGCAAAGATGTCAGTGTGGTATATAAATCTGTGTGCGATTTTAAATGGGATACCGGGCGTAAGTGCGTAAAATCCCGGATGACATCAGCTTTCTATTACTGCGTATAAGTTGCAGTGCAGTTTCATGTCAGTCTATGTCCAACGCTCGTTCAACTTAAATAAAAAAAGATGTGTCCTATAATACTTCGACTATCAACATAAGACTTTCAACAACAAGACTCTAAAAATACAAAAGTACGAACCAACTTCTCTATTTATTGCAATATCAAGTTCCTTTGGCCTTCATGCTGCATAAATGCTTTGCTGGAACAGGTCAATGCTGGATCAATGATGTACGACGTATGTGCTAATAAATATAAATTCGCTGCTTGATTTAGACACTAGTATAGTAGATCTCAATAATTATTTTTTGCCATTTGCTGAACAGAACTAGTGCATTCAGCTTCCCTTTAGGCTCATTAGGCACCAGCGTCCACCGACGATGCACATACTTCTGATAGTACAAGGCTCTTCTCCTCCCTGGCATCTCTCTAATCATGGTCACAGGCAAATGATGCAGAATTCAGTAACCCCTTGATGATCAGCATGTTCGCTGATGATAGTAAAAGCATATTTTGAATCCACTTACAAGCTGTGCCCTGCTCCTCATTTAGCTGTGCATCAAGACGCTTTTATTTCAGAAAATTTGATTTGCTGTTTCCGCTGAGATAAATTATATCTATGTATATCATCCGTGAATTCTTCCTTGTTTCTTCGAAATTTAGAGTCCAATTCAGTGCTTTTGATTGATTCATGGGGTACCTGGGGACAAAAAGTGGTATGGTCAATACCGCAGTGACCGTAGTGTATCCCACGCCCCTGCGTGACACACACACACACAGGCACACACACACATGCATGCGCCCGTACGCATGCCACACCACGCGGATAACAGGAAGGCAACCAAAACAAGAAAGAAAACAGGGTACTATATTTGACCTTAATTAACGTTGTAAAATGCCCTTTAGAAGCCAAGTGCAATGATCACTTGACCCACCGCCCCTTCTGCCTGGAAACCGTTCTTGACTTCTGGTAACACTTATCACGGTATGGCCTTTACAGAAAGCAGTGCCCTGGGTGTGCCAAAGAGCTGCTTGTCAGCCTGATTGGTTGACCTTCTGCCCGAGCTGGTCAAGTGTCTGTACTATTTACTCCTACAGTCAGCCCCATGGAGTGTTTCCATTATGCAAATACAAATGTCCTCCTCAGAATCGGATTGGCAGTTTCACATGCACAGTCAAGGATACTGATGAAGCACTTCCTGGGGTGCACTCAATCATCACCCGGCTTACCAGCCTGCCCCAAAGAGCATGCAACATGAACTCAAGCACCACTGAGCTGTTGGAAAGCACAAGGGGCTCTGCCACAAAACACATGTATACACACATGTATACACACACACACACACACACACACACACACACACACACACACACACACACACACACACACACCTCAGACCTCAGACCTGCCCATCGCGAAAGCGATGATAGCGAACAGCTATGTTAGACATAGCAACTTGTGCTGGGATTACACCATTCAACAGCTTGCAAGGCTGATGAATTGACCGCCACTATTTGTAGCCTGGTATCCACCACACAGCTGATTGAAGTGACTTTTTCTGGCCAGTGAATCCCTATTTTTCATTTTTCCATTTTTTCTTTTTTTCTCTTTTTCTACACACACACCACACCACATACTCCGGCATACACTGGCTGTTGGTAACCACCCGGGAGAATGAAAGAAAAGTCAGGAAGAGTCCGAGAAAGAGAAGAAAGACGTGTGCCATAATCGTCAGGAATTGAACCCGCAACCTCTCGATTGGAAATCGACTGCACATACCACTGCACCATATGGGACACACACACGCACACACACACACACACACACACACACACACACACACACACACACACACGCACGTGCGCGCGCACACACACGCACACACACCATGACTAGCCAGGCGGAAGTATGCCCCCCACACGTTTAGGCAGGCACACCATGTATGTACCAGGTCATACTTTCGGTCGTAGCATGCATACCAAGCCTGTACTGGGCTAGAGCCAATGGTCAAATCTTGAATTGACACTTCTCACTGTGACCAACATCTAAGTATGGCAACACAGAAACCATGTGTCACAATGCAGCTCTACTGGCATGTTGCAGAATATGGGCAAGAGCTTCCATCTACATTGCGGTGCAGCATGTCGCTACAATACTGTCAATAGCACCACATAATGGCCGAAAGAGTCACAGTGTCAGTGCACTCATTCAACGTGATTCCACACACACTGATAAGTGAGGAACTGGACATTCCAATTTTCCAAATAAGCAGCTCGACTTGACTTGGCCAGAACAACATCATGCCAGCTTCAAAACACACATTCCTCGGCTTTGCGCATGACATGAGTCAATGTGGGGCCTCCTTTAGTTTACTCCCGGCAATGATTATCTTCCTTTGTGCTACATTGTATGTCTTGTAGTTACATTACACTTTGTGCTTTTTATATGCTCAGCTCAATATGGTATAAGGATCGGACGGATTAGACAAGACAGCACGCAGACACTTCCTTTTGTGGGCCCCAATCCTGCCTGCCTACTCACTCTATCACAACACAGAGAGAGTGAGAGAGTTTCCACCAGTAAAGCCTCCCCCCCCCCCCTGCAGCCACTATGCCTTTAGGCGTAACGTCTGCAGCTTCACCTGTGCAAACGCCTACACATGCACAGCACAGTCCAGCCAGTACAGCCTCCTCTTCCCCCCCCCCCCCCCCCTCTCCCAAGTGATGTCATGGCTCTCATGCATGGTCTCATGATCTCCTCCATGGGATCCATGTGGCTTTGCTGCAGGGTCGCCATGCCATCACTTGCTATGGTAGGTGTACACCGGGCCTACTGCTACTAGTACTTGATTCCAGAATACTGATTCTGTCATGACATTCAAAATGAAAAACACGCTGCTGCAAGGATCAGCCAATGCAGTGTGAGATGAGCAGGATCCGCTGCTCTTCTATTTGAAAGAAGATGATCATGTGGTCAGTGTGAGAGTGCTGACATGTCACTCAAGTTTCACAGCGGTCAAGCACGTCATGATTCAGAGAAGAAGTGCAAAATACTCTCTGAAACTAAACAGTATCACACTGAGAAGTACCCTGGGCCTGCTTTGACGCGGTAAATGACCAGATATCACTCAAAAATTGAAAGCTTGTCGGCTGCAGGAGGCCTGAATTTCAACGCGGTCACGGGTTCGACTGAATTACTTGGATGAAGTGATGAGATAGGCGACCCTTTTAGAATTGATCCTGCTAAGCTACTCTCTAGTTCTAGCTGTTGCTGTCATGTAGGGTTATCACTTTCCACTTTCGGTGACAGCTCAATCTGGACTCCGTGATCCAAGCCAATTTAGGACACCGTGCTTCGTCACCACTGCACGTGGTTGAAGCCACTGGATCGACTGGTCATGTTTCGCGGTGCCAGGACTGAAGCCAAGAACTTGTCCTCTTGCACCAGGACTAGTCGACTGCTGTCAGGATGCTGTTGCCAGAGTGTCTGAGATGCTTTCAGCATGCTGCTGCTGCACAAGTTTCCTCTCGAAAGCTGTCAAAGTCTGACAAACAGGTACTCAACTCCCCATCTGATTGCAGTGTGACAATACTAGAGTTCGTCGTTTCACTCGCAGCAGCGGGGCACTCAGCGTTGCTCTCCACCTCTCTTGCCGCTCAATACATATCCATGTCTCCTGCCAGACCGCTCAATGACTGCTTGTTGCGCATTCCGCGCCGAAACGTGGCCGCCGAAACACCCTCCACTTGGTGGCCATCCACCTGGTCGCCTGCCGCCACAGCACCAGCAGATGCATTAGGCGTGCCTGCATGCACGCAGATAAGAAAGCGGCACAAGCACACCATTAGATGGCAAACTGATTGCAGGCAAGCAAGTACAAGCACATCATTAGAGACCCATGGCAGATTGACATGGTAGATAGCATGGCTATCATGAATGTTACAGCTTATGACAACTCTTTATATGGATAACACTCAAAGAAATCCAAGGAACTGCACAGGCCTTCTTTTCTTTTAGCTAAGCCAAAGTGATAGTTAGGCCAGTAGACAATACTGTGATATGTGATACTAGTTTAGTAGCTAACACTTGCCTAGAGCATAATAGCCTAGGGATACAATGCACTTCCGAGATGAGGAAGGTACGTGACATATTGACTTTATATTGAATATATTCAGAACTGCTCTCTGCTTGCCCGTCCTCTTTTGAAGGCATTGATTGGCTAGAAGAGCTACTGCAACTGCAAGGCCGTCACAGCCGTTTTCATTGCAGTTACACTGAAATGGCACCAAATGCCTGAAAATGCTTGCAATTGGCTTCAATTTTTGGAATTTTTTTCCCCGGGGGAGGATAATGAAAAATCCTTGTCCCCGATCGTAGCGTCTTCTTGGTTTGTTGCAGAATCACAAAGTCTTTCATTGTAGTTGCACTGCAATGGCACCAAATGCCCGGAAATGCTTGCAATCATGGCTTCAATGTTTCCCGGGGGACGGCCCCCGCACCCCCTTCCATGGCCACCCCACCTCCAAAGTCGGTGCGACGGGCCTGACCTGTAGGTGCATGTTGCACAGAGATCCAAGGAACCTGCTTCGTTTGGGAACAAAGTAGCTGACTAGGCAATTCAATTTTTAGCCCGGGGTGCTGGCAGGGAGTAAACAGGTAGATTGGTGACAGACATCCCAATGCCATACTGCACTGTCCAGGAAACCAGTGACATCTCATTGAAATGCCTTCAGCAGAGTAGTTTATCAGGGTGAATATTCAAACATGCCTTGCAGGCATCAACAGTTTAACTCCTTGAGATATTAGGCGGCATGTAGTGCAACTGATCACTTGACAATGATCGCTTTTCAACCTGAAGAAGTTACTTAGACTATTCACTGGCATTTTACCATTTTACCCATATACGTGGATTAGTTCAAAAAGGTAAAGGTGTACACCGGAAAACCAACATTAACAATATGAAAGTGATGGTACATGTACATTACACAGCGGACATGCCCTCGTGACACAGTGGCAGTGTGGACCCTACACACCCTGGGAATTTACGTGACGATAGGACACCAAGCATCACGATCAAGCACACCGGCGGGGAAAAATGTAGGGCGTGCACAGCATCAGTTGACACATGCTGTTGGTTCATCGCATGCTAAATCAGAAATTCCTGGGCGTCATCGGTGAAGCTCTGGAGACTGGGGCTCACAGGAAGCATTTGCACTTCTAGTTTGCAGAGCAACCGGGAGTGTCCTGGAGACTATGATAGACTATCATTATAATTATACATACGGCGTGCTAGGCTAATTAAGTTAACAATGAAAAACAACTTCACCAGGGCCATGCCCAATTACAGCGGTCATTGTCCTCAAAGAATGCCAACAAGGTGTTTCTGGAACAGCAGCCAAGCCCCCCGCCTGTGTAACAGTCCCTTGACTGATGATCACCATGGCAGTGTCCGAGGCTCTGCTCTGCTCTGCCCCATTAGCCGGTGTGTGGTCCATTATCTAACTATAGCCACCACTACAATGTACTTTACAGGACCGGCCTGCAGTGGAGAGACACTGCACCAGCGAGTCACTGCTAAGTACATTGTACATTGCATATGTACAGTAAAACTCCCCAGATCCGGACGTCCCTAATCCGGGCACCTCCGTCTACCAGGCACCTTTCTGACCCATTTAGAGTCATAAAAATGGCTTTTCAACGAAAACAGCCCAAAACAGTAATATTGATTAACAAAAAAATATTTTCTTGCATGCAGTACGTAAGTTCTGACATACGGGCAATTCCTACTTACGAGCAGTGCTCGGTCCCAACCTGCCCGGATCTGGGGAGTTTACTGTACTTGCACATGCATGTACATGCATACGTATTATGCACATACATGAGCAGATCAGGCTGCATTCCAACCCTGTCAATCCTGCATGATCCAGCAAGCCAGATGATGACTTAGACCGGCCGTGACATGTCTTGGACCGCCAACAACCCGATCTAATAATAAAGAACTTGCACCCAGTAGTCAGTCAGACAGTCACATCATTGCACATACCATCGCCACTGGCTCCTATTGCAAGCTGCACAATGGAGCTCTGCTCTTGTAATGCTCTTTGCAACTGCAGCAGGGAAACAACACAGAACAAAAACATGTTCACAGATAAACAATGCATTGGCGAGACTAAAGGTTGGATGGAAAGAAGAAATGATCAGGGTCCAGATCCGTTGCTTACCTTCCTTTGCGCTGCTTTGGACATGGCAGTTCCACGCAGGTCAAGTCGTTGCAGCGTCTCGTTGTCCGAAGTCAACACCTGTACTAGCGTCGACATGGTCTCTTCGCCAACAGGATTGCTTGCTAGGTGAAGGGTGTCCAGTGTGCGATTGTCACTCAGAGCCATGGCTAGCTGTAATCCCCCATTGTCACCTACACCAGTGCAGTTTTCATTCCACAATATACACACGCACGCACACATATACATGCACCTCAGATGTAAGACTCCAGGCCGGAGCGTAAACTCAAAAAATCACACAGACCTTTTCAGCTCAGAAAAGACCCGTCATGCTTTGTATTCCATCCTTGCTCCAGTTGTGAACATTGCCATTCATGCATACGAGCAGCTCTTATGTTATCCGCCTTTCAAGTGGTCCATGCAATGCACCGCGGTGGTGTTCTTGCATTCCGATGACATTCCTGTATTACTTCGAAGTACAATCATCATTCCATTGCTGTGGCCTTCTTCCTCGCCGTTTACATGTTCATATTTGTACGTGTTAAGGTCCTGTTCCGAGAAAGGGCAGAACACAACCGTTGCAGCAAGAGTTAACAGCCTAAATCGTGACAGGCTTCAAACTGTAGATTGTGCCTAAAGTAGTAAAATAACCACTTCACCTTGACAAGTATAATGCTGTGCACAGTGACCATGACTAAACACACACACATAGCTATTCCCGGGGTGAGTATGGCCTTGTCAATCCCCCCCCCCCCCCCCCATAGCCCGGTGACCATTATCACAAGGAGAAAGGGCTGCTCACAAATTTTGTTTCCGCTCAGCACCAGTGTCTTCAAGTGGCGGTTACTCCGTAGCATACCAGCAAGCGCTGTGGCACCCTGCAAGCCTGGGCAATAAAACGACAAAGCATTGTTTAGTTATAGGCTAGTCCAGCAAATCGGCCGATCAACACTCATCTCGTTGCCACAGTAACTGAGTTTATCATTTCTCTTCAAGAATAGTCTCTTCAGTATCTGTGTGTGCAGTCAAATGCAGTTTCACACACCCATATACGGTATGATGTATGGTATGACGCTCAGTGTGAACCCGACTCAGGGTTGCCTGGCTAGCGATGCATCAATGGTACAGTGGATCTACAGATCAGGTCATTATTTCCACAAATCTACACTTCCCGGCACTGAGTAAGTGATGTCTTTCTGGCAGTTTTACTAGGCTGTAATCAGTCACCCTACCAGTCGCCCTAACAGTGGCTCTACCAGTGACTCTACCAGTGACTTTACCATTGACTCTACCAGCGACTCTACCAGTGACTTTACCAGTGACTTTACCAGTGACTCTACCAGTGACTTTACCAGTGACTTTACCAGTGATTCTACCAGTGACTCTACCAGTGACCCTACCAGTGACTCTACCCCAAGCCACAAGTCAACCAGTGATTCTACCAATGACTCTGCCAGTGATTGGACCAGTGCCGGACTTGACCATGAACATACAGTACACTGTTTCCCGGCACAGTGGCCAGGGTTAGTAACTAGCCGTATTGCTAGGCTCAGCAATCTCCGGTGCTGCGTAATGTGCACAGGTCATAGTCTTACCGACGTGATTGTTCTCCAGGCCTAGCGATGATATTCTCTTGTTGCGCTTCAACGCCTCCGCCAGGTTGACTGCACCGTCGTCCGTGATGGCATTGTCCCCCAAACCAAGTGATAGCAAGCTCTCTTGTTCAGCTAGAAGAGGAAGGCGTGAATATTCGTAGGAGACACACCGAGTATAGAGAGATGGAGGGGAGAACAGTTCCAGGAAAATTTAAGAAATAGAAAGAAATATTACCCACACGTGCACTGGGCAAATTTCTGACCTAGTCTGCAGAACATATGTTATAATATATATAATTTCTGACCTAGTCTGCAGAAAATATGATTCTTGCCAGATATGAAGCCGGTACGAACATACACTGCATACATCCTTGCCGGATACGTGAGTGGAATACAGTAAAAAGCCTGCAACGCTGGGAGTGAGATGCAGATAGGATTCTTGCCTGTGAGTGAGATGTGCATCATGTGAGATTGCAGAGGACTCTTACCCGAGACCAAGGTAGCCAAGTGGGTTACACCACGATCGCCAATGGAGTTTCCGCCGACTGCCAGCCACTGAAGACCGCGATTAGCGCGCAATCCATCACTCAACGCCCAGGCACCTTCAACTCCAAGGAAATTCTTGCCAAGGCCCAGCCAGGTCAGTGTCCGATTCACACAGAGTCCTTCAGCTAAACATTTAGCCCCCTGTGTGTGGCAATCGAGTACAGAGAACACCAGTTACATGACTGTACTGATAGCTGGGTAATTCAATTCCTGCAGCACTGACTGCTCATGCCACACAGTACCTGTCCAGTGATTTGGTTCTGAAAGAGTGAGAGTCCCTCCAGCTTAGTGTTCTCCTTCAGCATGGCGGCGATGTGCTCCGCCGCCTCGTCTTTCAGACCGTTACTACCGAGCTCCAGTGATACCAGTGTCTGATTGTCGTGCAGTGCTGTAGAGAAAGCCAGAAGAAGCAAAGACATACATATACTCGTACATGAGTAATATCCAGGTCACGTCAATCCACTACCACTGAGTGCATGACCATTGCCATTTCTTCTGAAATTCATTCTGAAATTCATTCTGAAATTGGAACCGTGTACAGTGTCTACTATGTGTACCAAGGACAGTACTGTAGGCTGTGGGCACGGCGTACCCTCAATAACTACATGTATTACATTATGTCAGCCAACCAGGCAATTCGTCCAAAGACAATACAACACAAAGCATACCGTCAGGAGCAGGTCTTACCAAAAGCAATTCCAACAAGACCAAGATCTCCTAAAGCACAGCCATTCAAGCTCAGCTCCTCCAGTTGACCATTGTTCTTCAACATATCGCCAATAAGCCGACCACCCTCCGAACCAATCTGCAGTGTTGTGAAGCAGAATGAAACTCATAGCTTAAGTTTTTAGATAATGGACATAGACATTTTTCAGGGCAACAAAACAGTGTAAGTGGTAATTTAGCAACTGCCCAAGCAATATCTGGATTTTTCATCGGCCCACAGTGTGAAAACCATGATCGCATGGGATTCAAGCCTGCAGCCATTTAAGTTACTCCAAATGCACTGGGCATACCACCCCCCCCCCCCCCACAGGCAACATACATACATGCAGTCATGTTTGCGTGCACACACACACACACACACACACACACACACACACACACACACACACACACACACACACACATGTGCCCCCCCCTCCACACACACAAGCATGTGCACACACACACACACACACACACACACACACACACGCATGTGTGCTTCCCGTCACTAACCTTTGGGTTGTCATCGAGAACCAGTACACGGATGTTAGTGGTGATGAGCACACTACACAGTGTGTCACATAGATGTGTTATACCGATATGAGATACATCACAGTCCTTTAGGACAAGCTTCTCCACCACGCTGTAAACAGCAGGACAAGATAGAGCAAGAACAACAAAGAAAGGGAATCTACCCTCTGTCAATTATATGTACAGGTACCGTTATGCAACCTTGTATCTCTATTGAATGGCCCAGAGGCTGACCTCCTATCACTATCTTCACTTCGATACATGTGTCACCAATTTTCCACAGCAAAGAACTTGAGGGTTGTATTGTAATAATTGTTGCTTGGAGTGAGAGGAGGGGAGTGGAGTCAATAAACTTTTAAAAGGTTATCCTAATCATCGGAGGTCATCATTGAATACATGTACATGGTGACTCAACTGTGCATAAGCCATGGTACATGAACATCATAAGTAGTAAGAACGGTATAGGCTGCGCCGCCGCCGGAGGCTGATCCCCATTTCTTCGGAACCCGACAGTACTGTGTTCGGTGGAAACTAGTGCTAGTTTGTGTTCGGAAATGAGAACTAAATGGGAAATCTCAGGAATCTGTGTTGCATGCAAAACCATACAAACAGCACTTGTCACGTTTGTATTGCAAACCAGCACTACGGAATCACTGTGCCGTGGCTTTGCAGGTGTCTGCAATGTTTGCAAGAGGATGATCAAGCCTGCGCAAAGCCATACCAGCTCTCATCGACCACGGTTCATTCATACACACTCCGCGGCACCACAATGACATGTGTTAGTGGTGCATGGACGTGATTGTTATTGAAAACTTTCGTTGGTCTCTCCTCATAACCGAGCCGTGAACAATGGCTATTCGATCATGTTATAATTATTTTGTTGTAACACTAGTCAGAGTTTCATACATGTAGTTAGCCTTCGTGAAACTCGGCCACCGGACAGTGACATACTCACATAGACATTGCCTACTGCTTTATTGTGTTCTGAGCTCTGCACTCTGTGGCATTTATTTTAGGCATTTCGGTGAGCACTTTCTTCACACTGAATGCATCCTTTGCGCAGGGTTTTATAACACCGCGTTCTTGAATTATTTGCTCCCCGCTACTTACTCGTTATGTCGGAGAGCCTGGGCTAGCTTCACTGTCCGCGAGTCTCCCACATTCTTGCCGGTCAGGTCTATCTCGTACACGTCCTCGTCGTTGTGCCGCACACTATCGCGTACAGCTTTGAAGTGGGACAAGTCCTGCCCCATAGGTGCGGCGGCCGAAAGCACACGGTACACACGGTGCAGCGGTCCACGATTTCGCCAACCCGGCGGCCGGACACAACATACAGTCTATGCTATGGCTCGGAGCGCTCGAACGTGTACTACTGTTGAGAACAAGAACGAACGTTGAAAGAAATTCTCTTCATTGAACAAAAACGTCAAAAGCAAAGGAATGGCGAGTTTCTCCAGCACCTTTCGCTGAGCATTCAAAACCACTAGGCTACGAATGGTACTACTTCAGTAGTACTATTGCTCAGCTGCCAGGGAAAGGGCAAAGACTGCGTGCTGTTACTTCAGAAGAGTTTCAACTCCGTACAACCGTGTTTTCCTTCAACCCGACGTTTCCAACTAGAATCCGAAGGCTCGCATGCCACAGCAGTCGAAAACTGAAGTCTTGCTTGAAACGAACGGAACTATTGGCAGTAACCCCCAGTTACTCATCCGAAGGTGTGTCACAAGTGAGTGCGAAGGTGGGCTCCTAGAAAGCTGCACCCACAGACCATGCAGACTCCCATGCCCATGGACTACGGGTCGGTACATGGCCATGGGCCGGTAACAATAACATGGCCTATGCCATGGCATGGGCAAGACACCGACGTCGCGTGTGAGCGTGTGCTAGGCGACACTTCTCTTTGACTTGAGTTTGAACGCTCGTAACCTACATTGTAGACTAGACGTCTACATAGATCCGATATTACATCATGACATTGTCATCTGGTCATGTATGATGTAGGCTACACTACACAGACAGTACAGTGCTACAGCGATGCACATACTATCATTATGAATATGACTGTGACATAGACTCGGAGTTATTTCTGACGTGACGCGAAAGTATTAGTTCAGCTTGCGTTATTTGGCTCACTCGTGTTGATTTTTCGACGTAGATCTACGAGTACAGTCTGTATCGGCTATAGCGTACCCTTTTGATTTCCGTGATTTTATCACTATAAGTATAACCGATGCATTACTATATGCGATACGATCGATTTTTTTCGAGCGACACATGAAAGGCAAGGAAATAATTCCAGCATGGCGTTTTGACAAATGAGCATGCATGCATAGTTGACAGTGCCCGCATTTCCATAAAAAAATTCTGTTATGTACATGTACATGTGTCCCAAATAAGCAACGTGAAGAAAGTAAAAAAAATAGGGCCTTTGATGTTATTGCAACATGTATTTTAAAGTTATCACTATAGCCGATTATAATGTAGTGTGTTATGCATGTTTTGATTCTTTGTTGCCATCATAATATCCGATATATCATTACATCCGATAATATTGGTTATAGTGATATTTGTACTGGATAAAATACGTTTTGCTTTTGATATTTCGTACCAATATCACTGCAGCCGATATATTTTTATATCCGGTCACTCTATAGCCGATACAGACTGTACGTCGAAAAATCAACGCGAGTGTAGTGACCTGCAGCTCACGTCGAAATTTGGAGTTTTACGCCAAATTTGACGTGAAATTGCGCGTCACGCGGATGCCGTAACCTCAGAATGCAGATGGACTCGCCACCTGTTTTGGCTGTTGCTGAGGCTTGCATTCGCTCCTAAGTGGTATGTTTTGAGCGCTTTTGGGTGTTATCATTTTCTTTCTTTTCTTCATTTTGCCCTAAATTATCATCTCTTATGGCCTTCATGTACATGTATACGCTCTCAATTACAAAAAAAACAAAAACAAAAAAATCTTAACCTCTCTATTACCTCTCTATTTCTCTATTACCGGTATATATCCGGTACCAAGAGTCCATAAACTCTTGCCGGTACAGTGATACTAATAGAAAAGCGTAGTACTCTTGGTTAGTAGATGTACGCGGCGCGTACCGGGCCTACCGGCGCGTAGCTATAAGTCCTTTTTTTTTTTTTTTTTTTGATAATCCAGGGGGTGGCCCACGCCTGGTACTGCCACTGCATTATAAATCATACGCAATGACTGATAAAGTGCTACACCTGTGAAGTAAAAGAAAAAGGCCCAACCCTGCCCTGTCAGCTATTTGGAATTACGGGGGTCGCCATGGCAAATAATAATATTAAAGAACTAAAGACTATAAAATTAATGACGGGAAGTGCCAGCTTCGGCGGCAACTAGGGAGGCAGAAGAAGAGACAGGTGCATGCACAGCGAAAACAGAGCGGCTACCACTCAGGCACATGATACTTGCTCTGAGCAACGCAAAGCTAAGGCGGCAGCGGATGAATGACATGACAACCGAATACGGTTCGCTGCTTTTCTCAGCAATGAGAGATGCAATACGCTTGTAAAGCGAGGCAGATTGCTTGCCTATGCCACCAGTTGTCGAGAAGACCAACGGGACAAACGAAGCATGCTCGATCTCCCGCAGCCTCTCTTCATACGACCTCTTCTTCGCTTTCTCATGGCGAACGTAGGTGGCAGAAATGGAGGAGGACTGGTTCGAAGACGCAAAAGGGTTGAAAACCCGGACGTCGAAGAAGGTGCGTTCGAACCGCCCTCCCCACACTCCATTTGCTGCTACGTCCAAGCGAGCCTGGTCGTCGCAGATGGCGGTGCGATAGCGAAGCTGCTCCCCACTCAGGGGCTCCAGATGAGGCTCTACGGATACGTTGGTGGCAACACGCTTCAAGAAACCAGCGGTCACATCGCGGATCTCGTTGTGCCTGATGGTAGGGTAACTGCCGGTGGGGCACGAGAGGGCATGGGCCACTGTAAACTGGCTTCCACAAACGCATCCTGATGGCATGCGCTGTGGTTGCCAGTTGTACCTTAGGTGCACTCCATCGCGAAACTCCGCTTTGGAGAGGGCAAATCCATGGCGCTTCAAGGGCCTGCAGGTCAGCCACCTGGAAGAGCCCTTCTCCGCAGCCAGGTCGATTACACGCTGCTTGGCCTCCGGCAGCCTGGAGCGGAGCAGGAGGGATTGGGCTTTGACAGCATTCCGTGCTGTTATCCTCACCTCCGCCTTGGCAATACGAACGAGACTGGTTGCAGAGCCGAGCGCCATAGTCTGCAGCTTGATGTTGGTCTGCAAGGACTCAGTCGCCCTACGCGATGCATCATACTGGGATGCAAGATCCATGGGATTGCCCAGCCCGAGCCCTCCGTGACGACATGGAAGCGCAAGAATTGACCTTTCCTCCGAGTTGACAATATGGCCGGTAAGGGCGGGGATGAGCCTCTCCATTAGCAGCTTCTCCACAGGCGTCAGAGCAGCTGCAGCTGTTGGTGTGGTGCGGCAGAGGAAAGACCACTTATTCTGCAGGCCTTGGGTGAGTGCAGCGTATGCAGCTTGTGGTTGCGTTTCCGCATACGAGGACAACTTCTCCACGAGGTTGAGCCATCTTGTTGCCTTCTGCTCGACAAAGCTATCCAGGAATGCAGGCGTACCAATAGCCGAACCCAGGTACCGGCAACCATCGACGCGGATGTCAACTCCAGTGTCGGAGAACATCTCCACTGCTCGATCATAATGCTCCGGTTTAACCAGGAGAACCGACTTGGACGGGTTGAGGTGATAGCCGTAGGCAGGACCTTGCTCTGTTAGGCTATGCCACCATGCACGCAAAGGCATCAGCTTGCCACCTGCTCCTGAGTCATCAGCAAACCAGGTTTGCACAGTACTTGCAGTAGAGACTGACTGCAGCAAAGGAAGAACACTGAGAGCATAGAGAGGCATTGCAATCGGGTCCCCCTGCGTGGTACCTTCGGAAGAGAGGATGACTTCTCCACCGACGAAAAGCTGTGCGGGTTGCCTGTACGTGTTAATGACAACTGGTGACATGGCTGGACAAAGATGTTGGATGTTCTGCAGATATACAGCACGATTCAAGCAATTGAACGCGTTTGAGGCATCTGCTAGAAGGAGGCCTTCCGTTTCGTCATCTGCGAAAACGTCTCTCATGGCATGAATAGCAGCTTCCACTCCACACTCATGACCAGCACAAAGCTGTAGGCTGCCGGCTGCTTCCAGGATGTCGTCTCGCAGAAGGCTGAGGATGGCTTTGCCCACAATCCGCCTTAAAACCTCCCCTATGCCGATGGGCCTGACACCCGGTTTTTTGTCCAATGGGAATAGGCGACATGACGTGTAGGCTTGCAGTGACCAGGGGTCTGCCATGGATGTCGCCAAGTGCCTTGCACATGAGGCCACCGCATCACAAAGGTCGTCTGACGCAACACCAAATCCTGTGCACATTCGTCTCAATGTGTCGGCATCCACTCCAGAGGGGCCTGCTGCACCATTGGTGCTGAGTGCAGCCCGGCCAACAACATCTCGAGTGAGTGCTTCGAACCGTACGGGGTGTGGTGGTGCTGGAGGTGTGCCGGGAAGTACGGCAGCCGGTTGGGTTGGTTCGGCAAGGGGGTGCTTTTCCACTAGGATATCTCTGACTGGCCTGTCGCCAATCCTGTCATCCAGGTCAAGTATGCCTCCCGAGGTGTCATCATCCAGGTATTGCAGTGCTGCACCCAGTTTGCCGTCTTTCACAAGCGAAGCAAACCGTCTGGCATTATCGGTGGTGATCCTGTCCCGTTGCGCCTGTTGCTTTTCCAGCTGGTTATGTATGGTGCGGCATTCATGCAGGAGGTCTGAAAGCGCCCCTACTCTCCACAGTTCCAGATAACGCTTCAGACACTTGGCATGCGAGGAGGTGGCAGCTTGAAACGGCTTCTGGAGTAGTAGCAGCTGGAACACTATGGCAACTTTCAGAGCCTGGCCTTCAAAGGGACCGGCATTGCCAAATAATGCAGATACTGGCTGAGCTGGTTCACAAAATCTTTGCCCACACCGCCACTGGGGACATCGAAGGCATTCGGCCGAAAATGCACAGCTTCGTCGTATGCTCTGTTGATGGCATTGGCACATTCTTCTGCAGTCATCATGTCATGGTGCCCAGAACAAAGTTGATCCGTGCTGTCTCGGTGTACACAGGCAAGTCAAATGTCGTAGGCCTCCCTGGTTGTGGGGAGTCGGGTTCATGTGGGCCTGGGCCTGACTTTGATCAAGGTACGCCAGCAGCTGCCTACTAGACTAGACGTGGACCTACCAATGGTACTGGACGGTGGCATGTCATTTGCGGTGCGTGTAGACGGACTGGCTGAACCCGCCGGAACCTGCGCGTTCCCATCGAGTTGCTGGTCCAGAACGTCCCACGCCAACTGCTGAGACTCCGACACAGAATCGTTGGCGTTGTCGACTGTGACTCGAGTACCGGTAGTTCTACAGGCTGTGTCCTCTGTGCATGTGGGCGAGCATTCTGAAGCAAGCACGTGCCGAACGGTTTGAACCTCTACGGGATGTGCAGTAGTACCGGTCCTGGTGACGGCGAATTTCGACACCTTTCCTTCCTCCCCGGCGTGCAGTTTTCACAAGCTCTGTTGGATTCTCGGCATTTTCCACACTTGGAGTTGCCACTACACTGACAACACTGGCTCCCACCAGGTGCGGAGCTGCTCCCATGGAAGTTAGTTCACAGTATTAGTTGGAGCATATGAAAGTCCGAACGTCTACCTCACCTGGTCTACCGTGCAAACATAGTCGCAAGACGGGTTCAGGAAGGGCGAAAAAAACGCGAACTGTACTCTACGTCATCGACGTCACTTGCTCAAAAAGTCCTTTTTTCTTGGGATTATGGAAGTTTCCGGAGGAGGAAGGAGGAAACTGTAGTTATCACCAACCCTCACCGCGCCCAGCTCACGCCGCTACGGCGTGCGACCTGAGCTGGGCGCTAGTCATGGCCCAAATTTGCTCAGCCCACATCGATATTTTGCCGCACAATTTTGCCACAAAATTTTCGATATTCTGCTTGGCATTTCCTTTTTCCGTCGGTATTTTGCTTTGGTTTTGCTCGAGAAAAAATGAGTTTCAAGGAAAACTCAACGATAATTTTCGCTGATGAAGAGGGAATTTTTGATTTAGCTCCTGCTGCTGCTTAACTTTCTACAAAATGTGGCCATGAGTCTGTTTTGTCCAACTTTTGTGCTTGTTTTCAACCTTGGTGACTGATTGCGTTGAAAAAGTCTCTGAGAAGCCTTGGATTTTCGGAAAAGCCCACCAAAACTCGATATTTTGCTCAAAAATTGCTGGCAACTTGCGCATCCGATATTTTGCTCAAAGAATTGCTAGCAAATTTGGGCTATGACTACTGGGCGCCCTGCCCAGTATGGAACTGTCCTCAAGCCAGTCACGTATTTGGCAGCCCAGTGAGCTGTCTACCGGATCCCAGCGTTTAGAAGCGCCAAATGCGGCAGGGCCAGTCTCAGGCTGGTCGCGTAGGCGGCAGGCCGGCGGGCGACCGGCAAGGCTGCATTCGCATTTGGATCACCGAAGTGATACAGGTGCTTCGACGGCACTCCGTGGCGCATCAAGGAGGCATCTGGGGCCCAGGCAGCCCGCCCGTAAGCGCACCACCGTATCAGGTATGCGCAGGTGGAGCAGCAGAGCAAGATGTGTGCGGGACACTCACCATCATCCGGTCGACTGCATGGTTGTGCGACTTTACACAGCCGTCACTCATTACTTGCTATTGCTTGCAGAAGGCCAGAATTTTTTCTTTTTTCTTTTTTCGCTCTTTCCCTTCTTCCAGGCACGGCTTCATGTTAGAGCAGTAAATTGCAGTTAGGGACTCAGCTGAGTCAAGCTGGACTCAGCGTGTCAAGTTTGGCATAATACAATAAGCGCGCTATCCCCAAACAGTTGTGTGGTTATGGGGCTGTTAAGTGTGACGTCACGGCTCCTTCGATACGCATAGCAACGGAGAGCACTGGGGACAAACAAAAGTCGCGTCCTCTGGATGGAACCAGATGTCAAGGGCAACAGCATCTAAATGACTGGAGAGACAGTTGTTTTTCTTTGCTTTTTCTTCAAGCGATTGTTGTCGCTCTTTACTCCTTGTTCTTTCCTCTACAAAACTCCTGTAGTCGTCGAGTGCCTTCATGATGGCTGTGAAATTGGCTGCCCACAGTAAAACTCCGTGTTTGAGAGTGCTTTGAAGATGTTTCGCGTCCTGATGGATCAAAGTATGAGCGCTCCTTGTGGATTCGATTATATATAGGTGAGTTGTTCAAGAAATCAGTGTCTTCTTTCTGTCTCTGCCCTCACGCTGGCACAGTATCAGCCTCTATATCCATGACAGCTCGTACCTCCCGTAAACTGCATGACTTAGATAATATTTTCGCCCTCCGTGGTGATTGAAGACCCATGGAAGAATTTATTATGTTCAGAATGATGTCCTAAGAATATAAAATAAAATCGTTCTAGGGAATTGTCATAGGGTATTTTTGGAAGGATGGAGACAGAGAGAGAGAGCACTGTTTGAAGTGTTTGTCTCACTGTAATTACTCCAGATTATTGAATGTTGTATGATCTACTCTAAATTTTCCATAATGGTTTTTCCTGATTTGCGGGATCTCTTCTTTTGCTGTTTGCATGTTTACAGGAAGTGGCTGTCTGGTGTAACTGCACCAGATCCTGGGGAAATTAAGTCAGATGCAGAGGCAGGGTCGTCCAGTGATGCAACACTGCCGTTCTGTGTGCAACGTTACCGCTAATACCCCCGGCGAAAACACAAAAAAGACAAACACGTGAAAAGACTACAGTATTGACCGTTCTGCTAATAAATGCATGACTGCTCCGACAGTCGATAATCGAAACACAGAGCACCAGCATGATGTTTTCATATTGGAAACCACACAACAGCTCAATTCTCAAGCCCAAAAATTGATGAATACAAATACAGAGCGACGCAACAAGAGGTCATCCGGCAACCAAACAAAACTGGGTCTAATGCACTGAATAGTCCTGAAATACGCAGGCCAGACAAAGCAGTGCAAGCACATAATGTTACAAGGTACATGCATTGCAGAACAAAGTGTAACCAAAGATACACAGGGTTATAGCTGCACACTTGTGCATGTGCTCGCTCAGCCCAAGAACACACGATCATGATGATAGAAACAATCCGGGGGAAACACGCTAACACCGAAGTAAGCATCAACACGTAAATAGTGCAGCTCTGAAAAAATTACATTGACATGTACATTGGTGTGTCGAGTAGTATCAGGCTTGAATAATCATCCAACCAAGACTTCATCAGGTCCCAGACGCTGAGATCGCACGCCGAATGTGAAGTGCATCTAGCCTTGAACCTGTCGCACAAGGCACACATGGCAAAATGACATCCACTCTGATTATTTCCAGAGGCCAATCATGACAGAACACAGAAATGAAACCACGGGCTCAACCAAGTAAACGCAAAGGAAGTTAGTCAAAATAATCCATGCAGTGCTCTTTTAATAGTCCTTATGCACATTGTACAGATGTACGAAGTTCTGTACTATGGCCGTAGGTGTGTACATACCCGGTTGGGTGTTCATTGTGTGCTATACATGTGCGTTTGACCCATTTAGCCTCACAATTCATGGCAAACGATCACTTTTCAAGCCTTCTTCACTTTGGGATTGAACTAACGACTAGCTAGATCTCTGACGGAAAAAGATTTCGTATGAAATGCCTTCATGGCCCATTTCATAGTGGAAATAGCAGTAAACACAATAGGGTCCTGCACATTCAACACCCAACCGGGTCTACGGGATTCTACAAGATTATACGGGATTTCGTGCATCTGTACAATGTGCATAAGGCCTATTGCAGCGCTGATTGCAGTGTTGCGTCATAGCCCGATACCCGCTGAGCACAGACACAACTCCATTCGTCAGGGGCAAGACATACTCTTTTGGAATAAAGTCATAAAGTACAGCGTTCCAATGACATTACGGACACCTCATGTAAATGCATGGTCTGTTCATCTGGCCGACTCGGCCACGCATGAGAGTGTGTGCATGTACATGCGCGCGCTTGCACGCGCGCACACACACACCATGTATTCGGTGCGTATGGTATACCAGTTGCGGGACAATGAAGATGGAATCATTATCATGATGTTACATGTACATCTACAGTGTATGTTTGAGTGTAAAGTAAATTTTATTTTATTGCACATTTCTTCGACACAACTAATTACTTACTTCACATGTTCGCATTTCTCATAATCGATCCATCTGCACTCCGTATCAGTCGAGGAAAAATTCTCCCAGATATACACTAGTCACCACAGCCATGTGATGACATTGGGATGGGCCCCAAGCAGTGCACGATTGCACTCTCTAGTTACAATAAATTTGGCCAGATTATCTGTGAAGACAAAATGCAATGCATAGCGCCAATCGATGGATGAAGAGAGAGTTTGTAAATACCCATATCTTTCCACTTGTTCAGGAGCTTACCTTTTGGAGTTCACATCGTTAACACGATCTCTCATGCTGTCTTGCACCTTGGTTTTGTTGACCATGGATAGGCCAACCCAGAAAACATTCTACAGGAGCTACTAATGCAGAGCGTTTTTCACGCTCGATCTCGGCGATCTACCTTGTCACGCCAATAAAATACTCCATGACACTGGCTACAGTCACAAGAGACGTCTCAGTAAGGTAATGAGCACGACAACATCGTCGAGATCAAGGACAAAGAGAAAACAAAACACTCACTGAAAACAGCAAAGAAGAAACGAAGAAATGTACACGATTCCTATATGTTGCCACTGACAACTGGGTCGGTGGAGACGACGCTACTTTTGTTTGTCCCCAGTGGGATCGTTGTTATGCGTATCGAAGGAACTGTGACGTCATCACTTAACAGCCCCATGGGGCTGTTAAGTGATGACGTCACAGTTCCTTCGATACGCATAGCAACGATCCCACTGGGGACAAACAAAAGTAGCGTCGTCTCCACCGAACCAGTTGTCAGTGGCAACATATAGGAATCGTGTACATTTCTTCGTTTCTTCTTTGCTGTTTTCAGTGAGTGTTTTGTTTTCTCTTTGTCCTTGATCTCGACGGCGTTGTCGTGCTCATTACCTTACTGAGACGTCTCTTGTGACTGTAGCCAGTGTCACGGAGGATTTTATTGGCGTGACGAGGTAGATCGCCGAGATCGAGCGTGAAAAACGCTCTGCATTAGTAGCTCCTGTAGAATGTCTTCTGGGATGGCGTATCCATGGTCAACAAAGCCAAGGTGCAAGACAGCATAAGAGATCGTGTAAACGATGTGAACTCCAAAAGGTAAGCTCCTGAACAAGTGGAAAGATATGTGCATTTACAAACTCTCTCTTCATCCATCGATTGCCGCTATGCATTGCATTTTGTCTTCACAGATAATCTGGACAAATAAATTATATTGTAACTGGAGAGTGCAATCGTGCTTGGGACCCATCCCAATGTCATCACATGGCTGTGGTGACTAGTGTATACCTGGGAGAATTTTTCCTCAATTGAGACGGAGTGTAGATGGATGGATTATGAGAAATGCGAAGATGTGGAGTAAGTTGTGTCGAAGAAATGTGTAATAAAATAAAATTTACTTTACACTCAAACATACACTGTACATGTACATGTAACATCATGATAATGAGTCCATCTTCATTATCTCCGCAACAGGTACGCCATACGCACCGAATACATGGTGTGTGTGCACGTGCGCGCTTGCGTGCGCGCGTACATGCACACACTCTCATGCGTGGCCGAGTTGGCCGGATGAACAGACCACGCATTTGCACGAGGTGTCTGTCATGTCAATGGAGTGCTGTACTTTATGACTCAGGGGCGTAGGAGGGGTTTTGGAAGTGGTACGACCGAAGGTCGGTGCGGCGGAAGGCCGTGTTGGAGGGGTCCGGCCCCCCCCCCCCCCCCTGGGAAAATTTTGTTAAAACGACACAAAATCCTGCGTTCTGGGAACTTCTGGCGCAGTGTGCAGTCGAGTACAGTACTCAGTACGACTGCAGATGCATAACAGATCTACGAGTACGAGTCTAGAAAAAGGTCTGATGCGCATATGCAAATATCGATGGATCCTGATTTTTTATTATGGTTTTGCACGTTCCAGACGGACCACACTTTTCGAAAAGTGGTGCGGCCATGGTCGTACCAGTCGTAGCGGGTGCTACGCCCCTGTGACTTTATTCCAAAATAATATGTCGTGCCCCTGTCAAATGGAGTTTGTGTCTATGCTCAGCGGGTATCGGGCCATGACGCCACACTGCAGTCAGCGCTGGAATTAAAATAGCACTTCATGGATTATTTTAACTAATTTCCTTTGCGTTTACTTTGTTGAGCCCGTGGTTTCATTTCTGTGTTCTGTTATGATTACCCTCTGGAAATAATCGGAGTGGATGTCATTTTTTGTCATATGTGTGTGCCTTGTGCAACAGGTTCAAGGCTAGATGCACTTCACATTCGGCGTGGGATCTCGGCGTCTCGGACCTGATAACGTCTTGGTTGGATGGGTGATCAAGGATGATACTACTCGGCACACCAATGTACATGTCAATGTAGTTTTTACTTTTTCAGAGCTGCACTATTTACGCCTTGATGCTTACTTCGGTGCTAGTGTCGTGTCCGTGTGTTGCTACAATGTCATTATCTGTATTGTATTCCGTCTGCTTATACATGTGTCTTTATGAAGTGTTTGCCATGGCGGCGATGTGTCGATCAATAGTGTTGTGAAACCTATCACTATTCATGCTTTGCTGGCTACTCGCTCGCTCCGCGCCATGCACGCTACTAGGTCTTGTAGTATATAGCTCGATGCTTTGCATCGATCGCTGGTTGTTGTTGTTCTTGTTGCTTCTCTGTTGTTTGAGCTTGGTCCTAGAGTGAAGCTTTGGTCTTCTTGTGTGGTGAGGGTGAGGAATGGGTATCTGGACTCCTGGTATATTTCCGTAAAGAACCTGGAATTGTAGAATCCTGAGAGTATGTCTGGCCCACTCCCCGGTCATGACATTAGCGTGTTCCCCCCGGATTATTTCTATCATCCTGCGTGTTCTTGGGCTGAGCGAGCACATGCACGAGTGTGCAGCTATAACCCTGTGTATCTTTGGTTACACTTTGTTCTGCAATGCATGTACCTTGTAACAGTCTGTGCTTGCACTGCTTTGTGTGGCCTGCATATTTCAGGACTATTCAGTGCATCAGACCCAGGTTGGTTTGGTTGCCGGATGATCTCTTGTTGCGTCGCTCTGTGTTTTGTATTAATCAATTTTTGGGCTTGAGAATTGAGCTGGTGTGTGGTTCCCAATATGAAAACATCACGCTGGTGCTCTGTGTTTCGATTATTGACTGTCCGAGCAGTCACGATTCATTACCAGAACGGTCAATACTGTAGTCTCTTCACGTGTTTGTGTTTTCGCCGGGGGAATTAGCGGTGACGTTGCACATAGAACGGCAGTGTTGCATCACTGGACGACCCTGCCTCTGCATCTGACTTCATTTCGCCAGGATCTGGTGCAGATACACCAGACAGTCACTTCCTGTAAACACGCAAACAGCAAAAGAAGAGATCCCGCAAATCAGGAAAAACCATTGCGGAAAATATCGAGTAGATCATACACCATTCGATAATCTGGAGTAATTACAGTGAGACAAACACTTCAAACAGTGCTCTCTCTCTCTCTCTCTCCATCCTTCCAAAATACCCTGTAACAATTCCCTGGAATTATTTTATTTTATATTCTCAGGACATCATTCTGAACAACTTCTTCCATGGGTCTTCAATCACCACGGATGGCGAGAATACAGCTAAGTCATGCAGTCTACGGGAGGTGCGGGCTGTCATGGATATAGAAGCTGATATTGTGCCAGCGTGAGGGCAGAGACAGAAAGAAGACACTGATTTCTTGAACAACTCACCTACATATAATCGAATCCACAGGGAGCGCTCGTACTTTGATCCATCAGGAGGCGAAGAATCTTCAAAGCACTCTCAAACACGGAGTTTTACAGTGGGCAGCCAATTTCACAGCCATTATGAAGGCCCTCGACGACTACAGGAGATTTGTAGAGGAAAGAACAAGGAGTAAAGAGCGACAACAATCGCTTGACGAAAAAGCAAAGAAAAACTGCTCTCTCTCCAGTCATTTAGATGCTGTTGCCCTTCACAACTGGTTCCATCCAGAGGACGCGACTTTTGTTTGTCCCCAGTGCTCTCCGTTGCTATGCGTATCGAAGGGGCCGTGACGTCACACTTAACAGCCCCATTGTGTGAGTGCAGGAGTCCGCGGTCACGTGAGGGGGGAGTGATAAGTGATGTTTGCTGATCATTTTTTTTCGGTTTCACGAATCCAGTTCGAATCGCATTTTGTTTGCTAGCATAGGGCTTGAAAGTGCTACGTCACAGCATAGCAACAATTTCAAAAATTCAAAAATTGGATCCACTTGGATCCAGTTTTTGTATGGATCCAAGCACATTTCAAGCCGTCTTACTCACAGCAAGGTGATGTAACCAGTGAAACTGACTGATTTGGCTACTGGGGGCGGGGTTACAACTGGTGGCGAAATAAAAGTCACACCTGCATGCGACATGAGTGGGTTGCTATGCACCCACATACTTAGGCAATAGCAAAGTCACACCTTAGTGGATCCAAAAATAGAAATCTGATGTCAACTTACTACTCCCTGGCCGTTTTGACGTCATCACTTTCAAGCCCTATTGAATCATAGCATGATACACTGTAGTACGTAGTAGAATCCCCCCACTGCATGCACTGTGCATGTGACTAGACTGTGGTACATTTTGAGCATTGCAAATGTTTCTTCAGAGAGTTCAGTCATGGCCTTTTCTGCTGCCAAGGTTTTCAACTTGTGGTCCGTGCAGTAATGAGCGACTCAGAGAGCGAGGCCAGCTCGCCAGGCTCTGCCGAGGCGGAAGAAAGCCACGAACAAAATGCCGCTGACAGTGAAAGCTCTGACGATGAAATAATCGGGCAACGACCTGAAAAACGGCGACATGTTGAAAGTGAGCTGCTGCAGCTAATTCCTAGAATTTCCATTGTCGTTCTCTCTTTTCGCTGTGGAGGGCACGAGAAAACTCACGCCCAATAGATTGAGCGGACGTGGTCGTACAGGGAATAATTTACTTTTAATTTCTTGCATAGCAATTTTGTTATTCAAAATCCAACTTGAATAGCAGTTCAAAAATGTTGCGTAGGCAATTATCTTCAACACTTGACAACTTTGTCCTTCTGCAGAGCTGATCAGAGTGCAAACCTTAGTTGCAAACCTAGCCTGGTGCCACGATGCATAGCTCAGTACTTTCGAAGTTTCGTGCATCTAATTCATCCCTAAGAGACACACCTGGCATGCACACTGTGCATCATTGGGTACAGTGAAAAGTCAACGTGCATCGCAGTTTTCTGTGACACGTTTCTGAAGTTGCGTCGCACCTCAGAAGAATTGCGTAGCAAACTGCGATACGATACCGGTTAAATTATTCCCTGTCGTACCATGGCGTTTGGCGAAGGTTCTATGCACATCTATTTTTTGCAGGTCTCGACGAGGACTTAGATGACGATGATTATGATCTCATCCAGAGCAACACTGGCATCAATTGGAAAAAGGTGAGATCGCTGTTTGCGAGTGGGACCAGAGTAGGGACGATTGCCTTGCGTCCACTGTGTTTCTTTGTGTGCTTCCCTCCCCCTCCCCCCCCCTGTGTTGGCGGCTTCCTCTGCTTCACATCAGAAGCTGTGTGCAAATTTCTTTTTGTGAAAATCACGAAAATGCAGGCACAAGAAAGCCTGTGTTGGGAGAAAGGATTTCAAACGTCACGGCTGTCAAGAAGCGGCAACTTAGAAAGATGGCGTTCGTTCGAGATGGCATGGTAACCGCGCACGTGCCGTGGTCCGTGACTTGCTCATGTATGCACGCAAATGCAAGTCACAAACTCACAAAGATCGTCTTTGCATTTGGAGAAAATCATCTTCGACTCTTGTTGGAGGTTATCGAGGTTTGCCTAATCTTTACTTGATTGCGATGCCGGTGTATCGTCTCAATAATTAGAACAAAGAGAGCTGATGATCTCTTCATTGCTGAGTAGAAGTAACAATCAACTCTCCTCAGGTCCTCAGTACAGTGCCAAAGGCACACGACTGCAATTCCACAACGCTCATTTCACGATGATGGAAACAATAATCGTGTACACACTTGGAGCATTCGGTCGTCCCTATTCTAGCCGCCAGTCCGCCCAGCAAGCAGATACTGACCATTACGATAAGGACAACTGCGTGAACGAAGGCTCGCCGAGCAAATACAATTCAAGTACAATTCAAGACGTGACTCCAGTCAAGAATTAGGGTCTTACTCGAGAACTTCACAAATACAGGCCTAGGCACCCCACGAAACTGATAGATGACACGAACGAAAGACAAATACCGTCTTTCCGCAAATAGTAGGCCGGTCTACTATTTTTTCAAACTCGGCCTTATATTTGAGGACGGTGTTGTATTCGAGGACGGTCTTTTATTCTTTCAACCCAGTTTGACCCTGGTCTTCTATTTTTCGCCACACAGTTTTACCCCCGTTCTTCCATTTTCTTCTACACAGTTTGAGCACGGTCTTCTATTTTTTCCCACAGTTTGAGCACGGTCTTCTATTTTTAACATTATTCATTTAGTAGGCCCGGTCTTCTAATCGGAGACGGTCTTGTATTTTTTCAATCGCCCCTGCCCCGGCCTTGTATTCGAGGAAGGCGTTGTATACGAGGACGGTCTTTTATTTGCGGAAATATGGTAGGCTAGACAAAGTGTCCCAAGTGACTGAAAACAGCAGATCTACCAAATAAGAAAGCTACAGGTGCCTAAACAACGATTCCAATACAGTAGAGAGTAGTATCAGGCAGAATGAAAGCCTTGGAAGTGCACAAATACAGCCACGACCGCCACAAAAATTGGACGACTGCCACAACAATTTTTCATTGTTCTACCTCCTTGAAGGGTGAAAGTTACCAGTTATCCTATAGCGATGTCAGTTTATGCCTGTTGGAACCCCCCCACAGCCTGCACGAAATACCTTTCAAATAATTCCAGGATGCAATTGCAGCTCCAGACAGGAGGAAGAAGAACACCGTGGAAAATAAAGGCAACAATGCCCAAACTCTCGGGAAACAGCTGAAGTCTTCCTGAAGATGTTAACATTGAATAGCCATCGATTACCAGCGTGGTTTGGTGACTTTAGAACTGTTTTGAGACTTAGAACGAAGCGATATCTCAAATTTGATGGAATTGTGACCTGTCAAATGCGTGGGCAAGCAGGCCAGCTGACTGGTTATGCATGAGCATGCATTGATTTTGCATGGTTGACGTGCAGAAAACTAAGTTGCCGCAATCCAAGTGCAGCTAACAGCCTTGACCTATGACTCCAGCTCCACATCACTCTTTTATCTATTTCGCACTAGCATACTCGCACTCGAACACTGCACCCCACTTCTTTCCCAACGCCTTCCTCCCAGCGCTGAAACTCTCCACACATGCTCACCTAACACTCTTTCTTATCGCTTTCCCACAGCACCTCAAGGCATATCTACTCAATTCCTTGGTTGTTTGCCTGTTGTTTGAAATATGGTGAACCTAAAGTGACATTTGCAGCAAAGAGACCGTATTTGGGTGTTCGGATTGAAGAAAAAAAGGAATCTGTAAACGGCTGCAATTGATCATATTATGATTGAAAGTCTGCAGGCCGGTAATGTCTTTGTAACTCCATCGTTTCCTGTGCAAATTCAACAATCGAAGGGTCTACGTGGTAGCGGAAACTCCAAGCTGTCCAATGCAACAATCGCCGAAGAGTTCCGATGTCGGACGCCAGAGATATCGCGCGCCGTATTCTTACCTCGGCAAATTCAAATTTGTGATTGATCACTTCGCCATTTTGGGGGAAAATCCCTTTTCGTGTGCCCTTTGAACGACTGAGCACATGATAATGACGCAGCCGGCTGAAGTTTGAATCGTCTCAAACAAATTTGAGCGTTCTGCGATGAAGGAGAGTGGAATGGCGTTGATGGGACGAATTTGCTTGCATATCAGGCTTGGAGACGACTTTGCGGTGTTACCGCGTCTGATTTGTGGCGGCTGGATAATGGAGCTTGGTACCCTGGTGTTGCTCTCGCCAACAGCTTTCCAACGAGCCCTAGATTGTGAAAATCAAGGGAAGGAGACCAAAGTTATGACCTGGTGAAGTTGAAAATGGTACTGACGATGGTGATTCTGGTGCATGGTGTGCTTGTAATCCGGTAATAAAGGGTTAAAGGGGAAGTCCGGTGAAAAAATTAAATTTCAGCGTTGGTAGAGTTTCGGGCGCTGAGTCGAATGGTGTTGGTCCCACGTGTCTCCGACAAAGCGTTCTTGAGATATTTCCGTTTGAAAAACTGAGTTTCGGGGGCTGCGTCATGACGTCATGTGGCCGTGCCACACCCTCCGCAACGTCATAGCGTGCAGCTAGGTCAAAAGGAGTGCGTGAAAGCAATAATAGTGTCAATGCTATTTCAAATGTTTTGGCGACCGATAGTAGGTGGTGCAAGCGACCCCGAAGACGGAACTCCATTTGAGAGTGAGGATGCATCCATGGCTGACCTTCATGAGTTCGGTCTGGGGCTGAGAACCTCGGTATTCAGCTGAAGAAATGGCCGCGTGGGCCGGTCCAGAGTGAGCGCTGCTGCGTTTCCGACTGATGAAGAAGCGGCAGCTATTGCAGACGAGGCTGATATAATTATTAGATCTCTGGAGAGCAGAGTCGCCAAAATGGAGAAGAGTAATGCGAGTGCTCTAAAATGTTGTTCCATACCGATTCGCTTGGACTCCAGTGGCCTGCCACATGGTGATGTTTTAATGCGAACTTACTTGGCATATTTCGGAATACTCTGGAGAACAGTGCAGGCTCTTTGAACCACGGGCACGACTCTTTGATTCAAGGCTCGCAACACGACGGGATCTGAAAGTTTAGGTCCGGGAGCTGTTCGCTGTTTTGTCCCTTGTCGCGTTGTGCACTCATCGTTGTAGCATAAACCGATGAGGCGGGACTATTCCATGCGGAAAACTAAAATTTTCTTTCTCAGAGTCAAAGCACATCCAACGGCATCATATAGTACATGAAAAGCATGACAAGTCCGTGTCTTGACTAGTTCTTTTGATTCTTGTGACTCGAGTCTTGTTGTAGCTACCCCAGCACGGCAGTGCGGGAGTAGATCTACCCAGTAGTTCCGTGTGTGATGAGTTTGTTGACTACACTACAGCTAACTTAGTATGCACGCAGCGCAGAGCCAGAGGCCAGTGCGGACGAAAAAGTCCAACTCGGAAACGGCTAAAATAGGGGAAAACCTCGAGGTTTGCCGGACTGAAAATCACAGGGTACGTAGTGTGTGTAACACAGAATCGAATGGTCTTGGTTCGAAGAAGCTGCGACAAATAGTTCCCCAATCGAACGCGCTCCGAATATTGCCATTTTGTACACGACTAGATGGTGTGGCTACCTGGCTGCACGCTGTGACGTCATCACCTGGATCTAGGTGATGCGCGCTCAAATTCGCAGATGTTCGATTGGGCGTATCTGACGAACCATAGGCCGCAGCCTCCTCGGACAAAGGCCATTCGACTCAGCGCCCCGAACTCTGCGGACTGTGAAATTTAAGTTTTTCACCAGACTTCCCCTTTAACCCATTGAGGGCTACAGAGCCTTTCATCTGAGGCTCTGAAGAAAATGCTAAAAATAGGGCCAATATACAGCTCCACAACTTCATAGTCTAGGGAACTAGGTTGTTGAACTCTTGTGAAATGTTGACCAAGGCTATGATCATCACGCTGACCAACTCGATATAGTTCCCAGAAAAAGGAACAAAGTGCTATATGACACGTAAGTTCATCCAAATTGCGTAAAATACGAAAAAGTCGCCAATTTGAGTTGAATCACCGGGCGAAAAAGAAGAAAAAACGCATCCAAGCGGGATTCGTACCCGCAACCTCTCGTACTGTATGCAGGAAATGAACCGCTCGACTCTGGGGTCTCTTTCAGCCCAAAGCTGGAACACGGAAGTTAGTACAGTACGAGGTCATTTGCTATTTTTGGACACTCAAATTAAATAGCACCCTATTATGTTGGTTTGTAAAATAAAAAATAATTTTTGTTCTTACTTTTGTATTGGCACACTTATGCTTTACCACCACCACACACACCTGAAGGCCTAGAGTTGAAGCGTGTGGCCACAACTTGACCTGATCCAAGGTGTCTTTTTCTACTGCTTTTTAATGCGAGCAATTATTGGACAACTAAATTAAATAGCATCTAGCAGCAGTCTGCAATGGTGTGGACAAGTAAACTTGCACAAGACATGAAAATGGGGTAAGGCTATGCCTATGAGACCGGCTGATATGAGTTCTAATGACAGACCGTTCATAGCAAGCTTTTCAAGGTTTTTCAATGTGACACACAATTTAAAGGGTCACTCAAGGGTTTTCATGGACGTCATATTCGAGAACAAAGGAGAGCACTCCAGTGTGGCGCATCTCCTCATATTTCGCAAAGAGTGAAGGGCTAGCGCCGTAACTAGCCGCTGCGTCCTTCTTTGGTGGGAAGTGGTCACTGGTGCCAGGTGAGTGGAACGCTCGCACTGCTAAAAGAGATTTCTCCTGACCAGAACTCCTCCACAAATGCACGGGCTGAGAAGACGAGGAGACTCTTCCAGGCGGATTCAAGGTGGAAGACGTAGTCTCTGGGGTTGATGGAAGGGATACAACATCCCCCATGTCGACATTCTCTCCGTCATGCGACGTAGAGTTGACGGAATCCTCCATTATTTACTATTTAATCGAAATTTTCGAAATTACTCAATACATTACCTAAGAATAGTAAAGAAAACGCCCAGAAAGAAACGGCTTTCGCCGCTAAAAATAGGAAGGAAGAAACTTGAGGACCATACAAAGACACTCTTGTCAAAGATTTGTCCACCAAGGAAAGGGCAACGACTCAGGAGGACTCTACTTCCGTATTTAACTGATTTGTCCAAAAATTGCGACCTGTCCAAAAATTGCGAATCACCTCGTAGGATAGCCTGTCAGCCCGAGTATATTCGGGCTCAGCGCCCTGACGTCATTTTGAATCCCGAATATATTCGGGCTCAGCAGTCAATGGGTTAAGAGACGGTGCGGAGTGAATAGGACACTGTTAACGATTTCTCTAGCGTTACGATCAAGACTACGCAACTCCTCACGCAGGGTGCGCAACTCCACTGGTTTGATCTGGACTGGTGGAGCTCGGCGGCGGTGCCGTTTTCGCGATGCGGCTCAGCTCCGTGCATGAATGCATTCGATGCGTTTCTTGCGACCGCCGGCTCCGCGAGGGGCGGCGGCGTGCAGGGCCTTGATAAGCCCGCTGCGCATTTGCCAAATACGGAAGGTGCGGGTAATGTTTGTGAGCACGCTGGGATCTGCAATGCGCTGGTCATCACCTCTCTCCCCAGACGACCGTACCCAGGTGGCTGTTTGGGGTGTTGACGGCACGAATTGCGTCCTGCGCGATGGGCTTATTCGGTGGTCGTGTGTCGGTTCACGAGCTCTGCCAAGCCAGGAATGCTTCGGAGTTGCGCAACGATAGGGGGAGGGAGAGCGAGAGAGTGGGTCACGTGCTCACAGTACGTACCGCATCTCTCTGTGCTGCGTTGCTGGTGTGTCCGCAGAGGTCGCGGCAGTAAAGTACCGTGCCGCTTGTGCTGCTCCTGCCATCAGATAAGAGTGTGTACTAGCATCCAGCGTGGTCTGTGAGTGGCCTCAGGCACGTACTGTATTTTACTGGCCATCAGTCGACCCCGGTTATAAGTCGACCCCCGATTATAAGTCGACCCCCGATTATAAGTCGCCCCCCGATTATAAGTCGACCCCCGATTATAAGTCGACCCCCGATTATAAGTCGATCCCGATTATAAGTCGACCCTGGTTATTAGTCGATCTCGGTTATAAGTCGACCCCCGGTTACTGTAAAAGCACACATTTTCGGTGATGTAATTTTTCGGTATTCTCCAAAATCGACGGTTCGGTGGAGGGAAATTTTCGGTAAACTCGTTTTCCAGGTACAGTACTGTAAGTGTACTAGTACTGTAAAATCCCGCCAGAGCCTCTCCCATGCACCCCTCCCTGACTTCTTGGCAGGGAAGTGATTGGTTGCATCCTCGTATGACTGTGTGATGCCGTACTGTACTGCAGACGCGTGCTCGAACCGCAGTGCCCACCCTCTTGACCAGGGATCGCACAAACCCTGAGTTTTGACGGGTCTGTGCGACTCCCTGCACTTGACCTTTGGTCGGTGTACGAGACGCACGGACAGTTTTCGTAGGGTGAGTACTGAATGCGCAAATAGGACTTGCCCATCCGCCCCTCCCCACCTGGACCTACCGGAAGGGAGGTAGGGGCGCTCTGGCCAAGACAAGCACGAGCTGAAAGTTGGGTGCGCTCACCTCCCCTCCTTATGTTATTTCTATAACTTAGAACCTTCCAAGCTGGAAGGCTGTTGGAATGCGCATCCAAGACATGCTAGGGCTGATTGCCAGTTAGGTGTAGAACGTCAGTACCGTTGGTCAGTGTCGTGCAATGTTATCGCATGAGTTGACTGTAAAGTAACTAGTGGTGTTGGTGGATATTATAGTAGGGCTCAAACAGTTAGTCCGATTAACCGGTTTAAGACCGGTTTTGAAAAGATAAAGGTTAACCGTTTGTGTAAAGGTTACGCGGGTACTTTTTCGAGTTTTCGAAGTACGCATTTTTACCGAGCTTTGGCAGTTTTACAACCTATCGTGTATGTACAGATGCATACATGCACACTACATAGTACCATCCGTGACAATTTGAATCAATTTCATGCCATCTTTAATGCTTCTGGTCTGTGAATAGGCGTGAATGAGCATGCTAACATGTGCATGGATTAGTACTTAGTAGTAAGTCTGCACAGTACATTTTTGACCAAGTATATTGTACAATACTGTTCAAACTAGCTACGCGCCAGACTGCCGCAGCTTATAGGTTATAACCGATAAACTGACCGTTAGCGTAGCAGTTAACCGTTAAGGTGAAAACCGTAGCCGTTTGAGCCCTATATTATAGCGTAACTTGTAGCTCTTTGGTCCTCTTTACCACCTTTCTTGCATTTTGTTTTCGGTCATGAAGTGTGGACTTGTAGCCGGAAACAGCCGGAAACAACAATACGGTACTGTGCTACCGGCATTTGGTCCTATGTTTCACACTGCTTTGTCCTCGTCTGTTTCCCCACTCTTGTTTATACTGCAGCGGAAAAACGTCCGCAGAGCGCACTTTGCAGACAGCGATGAGGAGGCAGGGAGTGGTTCCGATAAACCGGACGAGAGTGATAACAATGAGATGGATGAGAAGGAAGATATTGCTAACGAGCTTTTCGGCGATGACGATGATGAGGAGGAAGAGGATGAGGACGCAAGTCAAAAGGTAATGAATCTCGAAAAGCACGGATCCGATAGTCGGAGAATGGCCACTTCAAAGCTTTGAGTTGTGGACTCCGCTGCAGTGGCGGTGTGTGTGTATGTGTGTCTGTGTGTCTGTGTCTGTGGGTGCACATCCAGTGTATTTGCAGATTTGCGTGCTTCTCTTGCGACGGGCATATACATGGTGGTGGTGGTGTGTGTATGCGTGTATGTGTGTGAGAGAGGGCAGCGAGCAGTTCCTGACTATTCCGTTTCTCCCCGGAACCGGGATTATCCACACACAAAGATCTCCAGGACACAATGTTTACACTGACTCATGATCTGAAAACAGTCACAACTCTCCAAGAACTAAAACCTGAACATCTCCACAACTAGGCTAAAACCAACTCTGGCCTAACAAAAGATAGCAATAGCTAATAACAGTGCACGCACATACATGGTATAGAAAGACCCTATGGCAACACTCGACCATGTAATGTGATACAACAATAGAATGCAGACGTCTAGACACCAGAGTACTGAATAGACCTGACACATGGCCTTCTTGATGGGAATGCATGAATAGAAGCACACATGGATCATAGCTCTAACACATCCGCCTATCCATATCACGCATGAATGATTGTACTCTAACAGCCAGCATGCTGCACCAGTCTAACTGCTACATTCTCCCCCTCTCACACGAGGAGTTCCGAGGGTGAAACAAAACAAGAAACCAAAAAGGCAACCCCCTCAGAGCCTAAAAGAACAAAAGATGAACGATGTGCTCTACAAACATACGTGTAGCTAAATATGCAAAGACTAAACATATGAAAGTGACCAATCACACCACAGTACTAGAGTATTCTGACCGAGTCAATAATGAATATGTCTCTTTCTCATTCGCCGTCTGCAGTCAATGGCACTAATCGCTGAATGGCACGTCGCTTCACCTTCTTGTTGCTCAGCCGTACGTCCACAACTCTCACCTGGCCATCCTGACCCGGATGTACTCCCACCACTCTTCCAAGCGGCCAATGACCACGAGATATGCCATCTTCCATAACCAGCACCAGATCGTCTGCCTTCAGATTCGGCTTCTGTTGGAGCCACCTCTTCCGCATGTTGTAGGTCACGACAAGCTCTTTCTGCCAACGCCTCCACACATGGTCAACTTGCAATTGAAGAGCCATCCAGCGTCTACGAGGGTGAACATTCTTCTCTCGGCAGGCGGCCTCCTCCAGAGCTAAGGGAAGATCCAAGCGTCCAACAATGAAGTGATTAGGAGTCAGTGGAGTCATGTCACTGGGGTCGTCTGAAATGGCTGTTAGTGGCCGGCTATTCAACAAGCTCTCAGCCTCCACAATTGCCGTCATCAGTTCCTCGTCCCGTAGATTGGCCCGAGACAAGACTAAGACAAGTGCTTTCTTGGCGCACTTGACCATACTCTCAAAGACGCCTCCATGGTGCGGCGCTCTCGGGGGGATTGAACCGCCACTGAGTACCCCGATGGACTCCATCGCGACAAATCTTCGCCCGGTCGAGTGCCTCCACCGCTTCACGCAGCTCCCGTTCAGCGGCGACAAAGTTGGTGCCGTTATCGGACAGCATCAACGATGGAACTCCTCTGCGCTTGGTGAACCGGGAAAACGACATCAAGAAGGACTCTGTGTCCAGCCCGAATGACATTTCGAGATGGCAGGCCCGAGTTTCAAGACACGTGAACACACAGAGGTAACGTTTCTGCTGCGCTCTCCCTCGTCCTTGACTGGTATAGAACGGTCCGGCGTAATCGACTCCGCACTGCGAGAATGGCTGCTTGGTTCCAAGTGTTCGGTAACTCGGCAGTGGTCCCATGAGTTGTTTCGCTGGTTTTGCCACTATTCTCTGGCACTTCAGACACGCTCTCTTCATAGCCTTCACGACTGACAGTCCGTGGACAATCCAGAATCGCTCTCTCAGGATAGAAAGTAGCTGATGCGACCCGGCGACATGTCCGCACTTCTCATCCTGGTGGCGAACAATAAGCTGCGTGACAGGATGTTTGCTAGGCAGAACCATAGGTCTCCGCATACTGGCCGGTAGGTGTTCCGCATACTTCAGTCGTCCACAAAGTACCAGGACCGGTGGTTTTGCTGATGTATCTACACCGGGGCTTAACTTGTAGAGTGGGTCAGATGGAGGTAGCTCTCTTCCGGCCATCAATATCCTGCAAGACTCTGGGTATGCCTCTTGTTGTCCCTGAGCGATCCAGAACCGCTCAGCATGCTCGATCTCAGCTGCGATCAACTCTGGCACCTTGACGATCTTATGTCTGCGGGCACTAGGGTTAGCCTTCGCTCCTGGGGCGTTAGCACAGACGACCTCCGTGGGAGCCGAACTAGCATCCTGAGAATGCCCCCTCATGACTCTTGCATCTGCTGTCAGCTTAGCGTTGCTCACAAAACGCCAGCACCATGATGTGACGCGAATCAGACGTGTCCAACGCGAGTACCTCTCAACATCAAGACGACCCTTGTCCGGCTCTACCGCTGTGAATGCCAGCTCGATCGTCTTCTTCACCTGGCCCGGAAGCTGCGGTTTGTTGGTCAACTCAGTCTGCGGCCAGGACTCCTTGGTGTTGCGGAGAAATGCAGGCCCTTGCCACCAGCACTCGTTACCGGGTAGATCCTCGGCCTTCACCACCCGAGTTGGCAAGTCTGCTGGGTTGATCTTTCCAGGCACGTGCCTCCACTGCGTCGGCTTTGTCGACTCCTGTATTGCCGCTATTCGATTAGCGACGTCTGAAGTAAAGTTCTTAGCCGGACTCCTCACCCAGTGTACGACGTTCATCGAATCAGTCCAGAAGTTGTGTTCGGACATGGGGATGTGGAGGGCCTCACTGATGGCGGCACTTACTTGCACACCCAGCACTGCACCGCGGAGCTCCAGCTTCGGAATCGTGACTTTCTTCAGTGGTGTGGCTCTGGCTCTAGCAAGCGCAATGCTGATGCGCACATGTCCATCGGGGTACTCCGCTCGGACATAACCCACTGCCGCTGTTGCATGGGCCGAAGCGTCGGTGAACACATGTACCGACAGTGATGCCTCATGGGCTGGGCGATCCGTTTCCTTGAGACATCTCTGTATCTTGATCGTGCTGAGGTGCTCCAGCTCGGCCAACCACCTGTACCACTTCTCGTTCAGCTCGGCCGGAATCTGGTCGTCCCACCCGATCCCAGCTGCACAAAGCTCCTGAAATATCAGCCGCGCCCGCATGGTAAAGGGCACAATGTGGCCTCTAGGGTCGAAGATGCTCGCCATCTTCGACAGCACTTGACGCTTGGTCCACTGTTGTTCTTCAGGAGCACGGTGCGTATAGCTGAAGGTGTCTGTCTTGGCGTCCCACACCACACCGAGAGTCTTCACCACCGCTGGTATTTACTGACTGTCGTTGCTGATGCATAGCAGTGCCTCTTTGGCCAAGTCCTCGTCCGGTATAGACTCTAGCACGGCTTGACTGTTGCTCCTCCATTTGCGGACGTGGAAAGACGCCTTTCCGAGCAGACTCTGGACTTCCTGTCGAGTGTTGATGGCGGACTCCACAGTCGGTAGTGAGTCGAGCAGGTCATCAACGTAAAACGCTTCATCAACTGCTTCCCGAGCCAACTTGCTGAAGGATGTGCCGTGCTCTGCTGACGTTGCCTTCAGAGCCCGACATGCCAGGTATGGCGATGCCTTCAGCCCAAATACCAACCGAGAGAACTCATACATGGCGGCTGGCTCATCCGGTGTGTCGCGCCACAGGAAGCGCAAATACTTGCGATCTTCTGGAGCGATTTCCACCTGCAGAAACATCTCTGCAATATCGCCGACTAGCGCTATAGGCTCTAGGCAAAACTTCATCAGCACGTGTACCAGATCTCTCTGCAACTTCGGCCCAGAGTGCATCTCGTCGTTGAGTGACTTGCCCTGGCATCGGGCAGCGGCATCGAATACCACTCGTACTTTCGTCGTAGTTTTATCTGCTCGTACCACCGCCAGATGAGGAAGCAACCACTGTTGGTCTGTCTCCTGGCACGGATGGATGTAGCCCTTGGCTATATGGGACTTGATGACGTCGGAATACTGCTGGTAGACTTCCGGTCGTTTCCTCAGAGTCCTCTCCAGGTTTCTCAGTCGCTGTTCAGCCATTTCACGATTCGGTGGGAGATCTGGCTTCTTATCGGTGCTGACCCACGGTATGGCCGTCGACACTCTGCCATCCATCAATTTCATGCTTCCTTCAACCATACGTTGTGCTTCCTCCTCCGCGACCGTTTTCGTAGCCTTAGGAACCAAACCAACGCTCTCTACCTCCCAGAACTTTGCGACGAGGTCGTCGAGAACTGCGTTGCTCCTGTCGCTGACATTCGCATGCAGGGACGTCTCTGTGAACTCTGCCGCTTGCGACTTGACGGGACCGAAACATACCCATCCGAGGGGAAGTTTTCGAGCAACTGGCTCGCCCGGCTGTCCTGCCAGCTCTTCCAGTACTCTGTGCGCTTCTGGCACGTTGAGTCCTATCAGCAGGTCGACTTGGTCCCCAGTCACCTGCGGGAAGGTAACCTCTTGGAGGTGCTTGTGCATGTGTCTCCTCGAGTTCCACTCGATCATCTCCATCGGTGCTGTAACTATTGGCTGCGTCCATGCTTCCAGCTGGGTTTCATATGAGCCGTCTTCCGACGCCATTGTCACTTTTACGCGACGGTGCTTTCCTGAGACTGTCTTTCCCCCCAGAACCGACGCCGTAAATGCCGTTGGTGTTCCCTGCAGCCCGAGGTCGTTTGCCACGCTGTCTTTCAGGTATGTTGTTGAAGAACCGCTGTCCATCATGGCTGTGGCCCGCACCGTCTTGTCCTGATGGCATAACACGACAGGGACTACCATAAAAGCGGTCTTCTGCGTGGTTGCCACCGACGTATTCGTGCTGTGTTGCGGAACCACATTCTCTCGTGGCTTTGTGCTCCTGCTCGTGGAGCCTTGGTTGGCCGGAGGTGCGCGCTCTTGGTGGAGGTCAGGGTGGTGTCTGCCTCGGCACTTGTTGCAACCACTGCCTCTGCATTCGGACTTCCAGTGGCCTGTCTTGAAGCAGCACACACATAGCGATGTTCCAAGCACGAAGTCCCACCGCTGCTTCACTGACAGTTGGCGGAAGACATCACAGCTGGTGAGGGAGTGCGCTTTACCACACTTGGCGCACTGCAACACTGGCTTAGTTGTGCTGGCTGGACCACCTGTGGTGTGCATAGCTGTTGCATTACTTGCTCGAGGGGCCGCTTTGGCAAACGGCCCGGCCACATTCAGCGCAGCCTCTGCTCGATTTTCTAGCCAGTCTGCGAAGACCTCCAGGTCGAGGGAATCCATCTGGATCCTTTTCTCCGCCAAGTATTCGCCCCACTGCATCTTCAGTGCAACTGGCAGCTTATTCACTAGCTCCTGTCGGAGGGTAGGGTTGGACATATGTCCACAGCTACCAAGCAGCTTCATACATAACACTACATTCTTAACCGAGGTGCTGTACGACACCAAGGTCTCTACATCGTCACTGCGTACCGGCTTAGCTGATTTCGCCTTCGATACGAGCTCCGTGACTACTAGTTCTGGCCGCCCGAACCTCCTTTCCAGCGTTGAGAGAACTTTCGGCAGGTTCTCTGGCACGATGAGGAGCATTCTTACTGCCTCTTTTGCAGGACCTTTTAGGCAGACCCGCAATCTCTGAATGTTTTCAGCCTCCGTGAAGCCACATTGCTTGGTCGTAGACTGAAACATGTGGTGGAATGCTGGCCACTCTTCTGCTGCACCCGAGAACGCTGGCAAGTCGGTGTTGATCTTGGCTTGTCGCGCGGTGAGCCTTGATAGCTGGCTTTGCAGACCCTCATCTGCTTGCCCACGTCCATCCTGCTGAAGGCCTTTGACCGTGGAACCAGCTGCTTGGTGCGTCTTCACTATCTCCTCCGGCTCTTGATCGCTCTGAATCCGACTGCGTAGCTCCTGTTGCTGCGCACTAGAACACTGTGCGGTGTACTGGTCGTGGTCCGCACGCCTCCGCAGGCGATCATTTTCTCCGCGAAGCTGGTCCAGCTGAACTAGCAACTCCGCTCGCTGTGTTCGCTGCTCATCCGGCCCTCGGCCTCCGCCTCGATCCGCCCGCTGTTGCAGGCTGGCGTTCTCCGCGCGAAGGCGTTCGAGCTTGTCGAGCAGTTCAGCTCGCTGCGCGTGTTGCTCTGCTGAAACCTGCTCGGCTCGCGTCAGCAAGCGGTCATTCTGATCGCGGAGATCTTCCAAACACATGCGCCCCTCCTGGTGTTCTCTTTCCAGGCGCTCGAGATGCGGCTGCAGCTCGCGCAGTTTCCTTTCCGATACATCCCGCTCAGCTTCGCACACCTCTTTTTCCTGCGTGACTCGCCTATTTTCCGCCTGCAGCGATGACAGGTCTGCACGAGCGCTCGCAAGATCCTTGTTCAATTTCGCTACACGTCGCTGCTCGGCGTCCGCTATTGATTGAGCTTCGCTCAGTTCCCGCTGATAGCGCTTCTCTTTCAGCACAAACTCTTGTTGCACTCGCAACCCTGACAGATTGGCCTGCTCCGTATTCGTCGACGCACGTGCGACCTCAGACTCAGTCCTCACCGCCACAGGCAAACTCCTGCTTGTGTGGGCACTGACAGTTCCGGCTACACTGGGACTCGGCACTGCGTGCGGCTCTGGATCGTGAGAAACAGCCACTGCATGTTCTGGCAGGTGCGCAACTTCTACTTCACCCATACTAGCCTCATCTCCTTGGCCAGCGTCAACGGCTGCATCAGCTTCATGGCCTTCTATGAGCTCCTCTGCGAAGACTTCGGAGGCCATCTTGGGAGAGGACGATCCTTTGGCCCCTTGGCCACTTGACGACGCTTCGTCTTGAGCTAACCTCACGAGCTCAAGCTCCTTCTCCAGGAGCCTCTTTTCTGCTTCCAGAACTCGACGCTGAGTCTCGTATGAAGATCGGGACTGTCCTCCTCCTGATCTCCTACTACTGCGCATCGAGCGCTCGTCTTCAAAACCCAAACGGGGAGGTGCTACACCTCTCGTTGACCGCGCACTTCTGCGCGTACTCCTATCTTCACCTTCCATGATGACTATTTCCAGATCCGGCTCGAAGGACCAGATATTCCGTTTCTCCCCGGAACCGGGATTATCCACACACAAAGATCTCCAGGACACAATGTTTACACTGACTCATGATCTGAAAACAGTCACAACTCTCCAAGAACTAAAACCTGAACATCTCCACAACTAGGCTAAAACCAACTCTGGCCTAACAAAAGATAGCAATAGCTAATAACAGTGCACGCACATACATGGTATAGAAAGACCCTATGGCAACACTCGACCATGTAATGTGATACAACAATAGAATGCAGACGTCTAGACACCAGAGTACTGAATAGACCTGACACATGGCCTTCTTGATGGGAATGCATGAATAGAAGCACACATGGATCATAGCTCTAACACATCCGCCTATCCATATCACGCATGAATGATTGTACTCTAACAGCCAGCATGCTGCACCAGTCTAACTGCTACACTGACCATACGCCCATTTCTGTGTTTGGGGGTTTGTACATGCACGTTTGTAATATTTATTGTGATCTGCAACATCTGCTGCTTGTCTTCGTAGCGCGTTCATCTTACCCTCGGGTGTTCAACTTCATCAGTATTCAATACTATTCCTTTGTGCTTCCGGTGCTTTATTGAGCCTCTGAACCTGATGATGGCGAAATGCTGAAACGTTGCTAAAATTGATAAGAAAGCGATGTTCAGTGGTTTTCAGAGTTCTGGCAACGAGCTTGTTGGCTTGAGTGCCTTTCTTCTAAATGAAACGACAAGAAGCCTCACCCTTACTTCTATGAAGTGGGCGGTGAAGCAGTATGTGCTAGCGTTACATCGAACTCAATCCTTGTGTGTGTGTTTGTGTGTGTGTGTGTGTGTGTGTGTGTGTGTGTGTGTGTGTGTGTGTGTGTGTGCGTGTGTTTACATACGCTTTCCTCTCTCTCTCTCTCTCTCTCTCTCTCTCTCTCTCTCTCTCTCTCTCTCTCTCTCTCTCTCTCTCTCTCTCTCTCTCTCTCTCTCTCTCTCTCTCTCTCTCTCTCTCTCTCTCTCTCTCTCTCTCTCTCTCGTCTAACCCGGTGAAGGCATCCGAACCAGCACCTGGTTTCACAATTGGTGACTTGGAGGCAAGCAGTGATGAAGACGAGGATGAACTTGGCGATTTCATTGTGGATGAAGACGATCAGCCCGTGAAACGGGCCAAAGGAAGAGATGGAGGTGTTCGTGACCAGTGAGTGTGGGTGTTAGGTAGGGGTGAAACGATTAAGGGATATTCCTTAACGGTTAATCCAAAACTTATCGATTACTTATCGATTATTATCGATTAAGCACCACTGACGAAAAAACTCACCATTTTGCATCAACTACAATCAATTTTGGAACTTCGAAGAGAACAAAAATAAAGGAAACATCGACCGTCGCACAGGCAAAAACTGATTCTGAAGGCTATTTGTCCAGAATAGTGAGTTCCGTGAAGCAACCGGAACGAAAGTTCGCGGGTACGAATCAGTGCACGGTGCAGAGAAAAGAGCCGTGTGTCGTACAATAGATCTAGAGAGTACATCAGGTAGATCTACCGGGTAGAGTCTACGCGTGTAGTGTGTATCCAGAGCATGAGCAACTTGCTGTGAGCGCTGCACGCGCGCATCCACTCGTACTCTGGTACATGTGCTGCACACAGTTAAGTCATGTAGACACACTGCACATGCCGGATATTTCGTCGTACCGTATAGTATGTCGTACGAAAATGCTGTAGCGATTAGAAAAATCGTAATCGACTAGATTTTTTCGACTAATTTATCGACTAAACCACATAATCCTTTCACCCCTAGTGTTAGGGGATTGGTGTGTGTGTGTGTGTGTGTGTGCGTGTGTGTGTGTGTGTGTGTGTGTGTGTGTGTGTGTGTACATTACAAGTATGTGTGTGTGTGTACACGTGTGTGTACAAGTGTGTGTGTGTGTGTGTGTACACGTATGTGTGTGTGTGTGCGTGCATGCGTGTGTGTGTGTGTGAGCAGATGTGTGCGAGCAGATGTGTGTGTGTGTGCAGGTGTGTGTGTGGAGGGGGGGGGGGGGGTTAGGAGGTTGGTGTGAGTGTTGGCGCATGACTGTGTGCATGCAAGGAAAACATTGGAGGCGCTTGCGACCAGAGAGTATAGGTGGGCGCGAGAACATGGGATTGTGTGTGTGTGTGGGGGGGGGGGGGTGTTTGTGTGCGGGCGTGGGTGTGCATTCACATCTGTGCGTGAGTTTGAGAGTGTGTGTGTGTGTGTGTGTGTGTGTGTTTTACGTTGGCGTAGGTGTAGGTGTCTGACCGTGCACACATGTACACATGCTTGTGAAGGTAAAACTTGGCCTGACTGACCCCTTGTTGGATTACTGTAAAGCCCCAAATTTCAGCAACAAATACATTTCTAGTTTTCGTATTGCAGATGAATTAGCGACGATTTTTTAGCGGGCAAAGAATTCACTGTACATGTATGTGCTACCACGGCCAACGACCTCGGGGGGGGGGGGGGATTTGCGAGACCAGATTTAATCGAGTGTAGTCCGTCTGCTATGCACGCTAAGATCTCCGTACCGCTGGACTTTGGGAGTTTATAGTATCCGACTTCGGTCGTTGCAGACAATCAGTCACTGAAAGTTGAGTGACTCTCTTGCACACTACTACACTTGCTTGGTGCCTAGTTCGCACTCGACGTACTGCTGACAGTACTGGACCGGAGAAGGTTGTGGCGAGCTGTAAAACGTTGTATGATCTGCATGACACAGCTGTTGTTGCCGAGTTCAACGCCCATCGGAGCGCCTCATAAAGCACGGCCTGTGGCGGGTTGGATTTGGGTCTTGTTTTTTTTGCTGTTCTCTCCGATTATTTCTTCTCGAGCGATGCGGAATCGTTCACGCCCTACCAGTTTGTCTGGAAGACCAAACCGGTGGCTGGGGAATTTGTGCCGTTCTGATACAATATTTGCCAAAAACATCCGGCCTATGTTGCGTGCATCGTAGTCGACCACCATGTGCAGCAATGGCCGGATTTATTTGGCGAGTATTGTACAAATAGGCGAACGGAAATTACTGTAATTTCACAAATTTTCAGTGTATTTTTATTTTCGGTACTTTCGGGGCGTCTGTTTCATACCTAAAATTTCAATACACCGAACAAACACTGACACACATAATCCAATAGGGAACTGCTTCTCCGTACCTAAAATTTCTGTTCACCTAGCCTGGCCTTTTGCCCTCATACCAAAAATATTGAGCACCTAAAATTTCTGAAATTAGAGTAATCAGTTCGTCTGACACAGCCCCGCACTTAACCATCATAAAAAATCCTAGCATGCCTAAATTTTGTTTTGAATTCTCCAGTCCCCTCTGGAACGACTGTTTTGTGTATTTTGCTCTGTCAATGTGAGCCGGTGTGTGTGTATGCTTTGCTCGTGTTCTCTCTCTCTCTCTCTCTCTCTCTCTCTCTCTCTCTCTCTCTCTCTCTCTCTCTCTCTCTCTCTCTCTCTCTCTCCCCTCAGTAAACTGATGGAGGCCGAGAGTATATTTGGCCTTGAGTTTGATCCGGCAGAGTTTGACCAGTATGCCAGCGATGCTGACGACGGAGCAGAGGAAGAAGATGAAGATGAACCTGAAGAGGTGAGGGTTGAGTGGCTGTGTGTGTGTGTGTGTGTGTGTGTGTGCGCACGCGCTTGCGTTTGTGTGTGTTCGAGAGAAAATCTGTGGGTGCACATCCAGTGCATTTGCAGATTTGCGTGCTTCTCTTGCGGCGGGCGTATACATGGTACATGTTGTGTGTGTGTGTGTGTGTGTGTGTGTGTGTGTGTGTGTGTGTGTGTGTGCGCGCGTATGTTTTGTGTATATACCGTAAAGTCTTGTATAAAAGCCGCACTTGAATAGAAGCCGCCTTCGAATAGAAGTCGCAATTTTGGGCCCATTAAATCACACATAAGCCTGGTTTTAGTGTTGACATACATAGAAATACCTGTCTTGTATAGAAGCCTGTCTCGTATAGAAGCCTGCAAAATTTCACCAAGAACGTCATAGAAGCCCTGGCTTTTATACAAGACTTTACGGTATGTGCATGTGCTTTTGCAACTTTCTCTCTCTCTTCCCTCACTCACTCTCTCTCTCTCTCTCTCTCTCTCTCTATCTATCTATCTCTCTCTCTCTCTCTCTCTCTCTCTCTCTCTCTCTCTCTCTCTCTCTCTCTCTCTCTCTCTCTCTCTCTCTCTCTCTCTCACTTGTAAATTTTTGGGCCCTCTGACACATCATTTCACTTTTTTTGGCAATTTTTGCATTTTGCGTGTGTGTTTGTTGTTGTTGGCAGGGCTCTGACAGTGACATGAGCTTCATCGACGGCTCCGCGCCGCGCGAGCGCACCAAGCCTCGGCGCAGCACCGGCAAGACGAAGCGCAAGGCTGGCGGCAGCGGGCGCAGCATCTACGACGTGTACGAGCCGTCCGAGCTGGAACGCTCTCACCTGACCGACAAGGACGCGGTGATACGCTTGACCGACGTTCCTGAACGGTACGTTGTTCAAGGCCATACGATCACATGGTACAGCCCTGATTGAACCGATTGGCAGTCATTTTTCTTGGGTATATTGATCGGTGGGTCATTCGGGCCCTCCCTACTCGTGTGCCACACACGCGACCGCTCTAGCCTGATTGACAAGGACGCGGTGATACGCTTGACCGACGTCCCGAACGGTACTGTGAAACTTGTAATTTTCGGTGTTCCTTCAATTTCGGTGATTTCGGTAGAGAAGACAGGCGCCTAAATTTAGATTACACCTAAAAGGCACTAGAGTATGCACTGCATGTGAAGGGAAAGCTGGTCACCTAATTCTACATTACACCTGAAACCTGGCAGGTCCCTGGCACCGAAATTTTGATGCACCTAAAATTACATGCTTTTGGGGTCGTCCATAATTATCGAACTTTTTTTTCACAAAACGAAATAATTTCGTTATGGGGTGGGAGGGGTTGACCGAATTCGTTTCAGAAAACATTTATGCATGTACATGGCCGTTGGAGCAATGACACACTTGCAACTTTTGTTGTACATGTGTATGCATGCATGTCAACATTTGTTACGTTCTGAGGGGGAGGGCGGGAGGGGTTGGGTCTAAACTAAAATAATTCGTTTGGTGAAAATGTTCGATATTTACGGACGGCCCCTGACAGACAGTATGCTGATCAAGGCCTGCTGTTTGCTAGGGCCCTACAGTACTGTCGGGTAGCGCCGAAGAACGGCCAGGCTAGAATTTCATCAAACACAGCATACCAATGTATACAATGTATGCACGGTGACTCGACTGCGCATTGACTGTAATACATTGAAAATAAGAACGGTCCAGGCTAACGTTAGGAGGCTGACCCCCAGTTCTTCGGCGACCGCCAGTACTGTACTGTCGGGGGGGGGGGGGGGGGTGTCAGCCTCCTAGCCTAGACCGTTCTTATTTTCATATATAGTAGTCCATGCACCGTGTATACATTCAATTACCACTTGGTAAAATTCTAGCCTGGCCGTTCTTCGGCGCCCGACACTACTGTAGACTGGGTTCGCGTCTTGGTCATGTGACTAAATTTGTGTACAAAGTGATCATGGCATGTGGTCAGTGGAACCAACATGGCCACCGACATCATGTGACCCATATATGCGGAGGTTGTGTCTTGTGTGTAGTTGCACATAGTAGCCACATTCACATTATTATCTTGGTGACCTGGAAGTGGTGCGAATGCTGCTGGACGTACACACGCGCTCGAATACTGTGATGCGATGCGACCTGGTGTCCGGGTAAGAGAGATATGAGCGTAATAGAGCACAAGAAAGAAACAGCCGGCATCATGAGGGCGAGCATTGACCGTGTTGGCATTGTGGTCTTCTTCTAAGCATTGCCATCTGTGTGTGCGTGCGCATGTGTGTACGTGTGTGTACGTGTATGCGTTCTTGTTGTATGTGCATGTGTGTACGCATGCTTTCCCGTGCGTTCTTGTATGTGTATGTGTGTGCATGCGTGCTTTCCCGTGCGCTCTTGTGTGTGTATGTGTGTGCATGTGTGTGTGCGTGGGTACACGTATGTCCGTATGCCCCATGTTGTTTGCGGTGCCGCAGGTTTCAACTTCGCACCGGCCTCCCCGTCCAGCCACTGAGCGGTGGAGGTGATGATGGCGGGGAGGATGACGGAGCTGTGGATCGTGAGCTCAACGAGGAAGCTGCTTGGATCTTCGCAAAGGCATTGTCGATGAAAACTGTCTCAGCTCAGGTACTTCCCCGCGTACTGTATAAATAATTATTGATAGAAACACAGCCCATTGACAACCAACAGACGTCGAATTGAGTACTGCATAGAAGTTAATGTGACTTTAGGTGCACATGTCAGTTTTGTGCCATGTTGTCGCACTAGTTGACTTGACTATATGCGTACATGATCTGGTTACATTGGTGGACAGTTAGTCAAAACTCGTAACATGTCTTGTCCTTCCTTTTATCCATGAGTACGTTGGCTCAACATCCGAGGCATGGGGGAACAGGTGCCAGGTTACCCCACAACTGATTTTTCCATTTTCCAAAACTGTCTTGCCATGCGAAATGTTACGTACAGGACGACCCCGGACAGCTGTGCCTTTATGAACCCTCTAGTAGTGACTGTCGACTGTATTCTCGTTGAATGGCAGGAAAAAACATGAAAATCAACAAATGAGTAGGGGAGGAGGGGACGGGGCATGAAAAACACAAAACTCAACTTCAGTAAAACCTGTAATGGTGACCACTCGACCATGGCGACCACTTTTCCTTGTCACGGACGCATTCACATTCAAAACAGCTCGGAACGCGACCGACGACCATCCACCCGCGACCGCTTTGCACAGTGCTCGTACATGTAAATGTATGCATTGCATGGTGCACCATGCATGGTAGATCTACACATCAGTGCAGGAAGTGTAGATGTGCATGATGCATGCACGACACTTGACAGGTCTGAGGACCCCAGGGACACGAGTCATGCTAGCCTAGAGTAGCATAGGTGTGTGCACTGTGATACACTGATCAAAATGATGTATCACATGTGGATATGGTCACGTGCCCCACTGAACCTGGATAAGAAGACCACCTGGCCACGGCGACCACTTTTTCTCGTCCCTTGAGTGGTTGCCTTAGACAGGTTTCACTGTAATGTGGGGGGGGGGGGGGGGGGCATGAAAAACACAAAACTCAACAAATGAGTGTGTGTGTGTGTTATGAAAAACACAAAACTCGACAAATGAGTGTGGGGGGGGGGGCTACTTTTTCACAGCTCAATCAGAGTAGGAGGGTGGTGCCCCCCCCCCCCCCCCCCCCCTACACTCTCCTTTGGTTTGGCTAGAACTCTGGTGTACCCGTTGACGGATAAACAACTTCTGACTTGATGAACGTTGGTACAGTCAGCGAAACGTGCGTGTGTGCACGTGTGTACATGTACACACACTTATTCAGTGCCACTGTACTACATGTATTATAGTATAGCGTAGTATCCTGGATATAACGAAACATGATTTTCTCTTTGCATCGGATAAGAAGTACTTTTTCAGACCTTGGAGTACTGTAGCGTCTTGTTATTTAAGCCTGTCTCGTATAGAAGTCTGTTTTGAATAAAAGCCTGATTTTCAAGATGCACTGGTGGCACATAAGCCTGGTTTTAGTGTTAACATACATAGAAAGTAAACACCTGTTTTGAAAAAAATAGAAGCCTGACTTGAATTACGGCCTTTCCCGTCATTTGACCTTGACTTGAATACCGCGGTGCAGTGCTGTTTTCCACGTCCCTTTGGAGGGTATTTTGAACTGGTACGTGACCTCTCTCTTTAGCTGCACGCTTGGGTACGAACACTGTCCGCGGTTTCTGTTCGCGTCCAGTCCTTGCCTCGTTTGTTGATTCATCCTTGTTCACTGTTCTTCCTCCTCCTTGTTTGTGTCGCTAGGATCCCGGTGTGGACGGAACGGGCGCGCCGAATGCGTACGATCTCTACCAGAGCCACCGGACCAAGCGGAAATCGGAGGACGCGGTCCCGCGGATTCGCGAGGTGATTCATCTCATCCGAAAGGACATGTTTGAGGTGAGTCCTGGCTAGAGCTGCAACGGGTGGGGTTTGGTTGGGTGGCAGGTTCGGGTATTCCTATCTGGATAGCACGGGTACCCTATCGGGTAGTTTCTTGACATAGTTTGTACAGTGAGTGTGCACTTGCGCTACATAGAAAGTGTTCAGTAAGCATTACATGTATATAGCCGTGCTGTTTACATGCACCGTTGCGAAAACGCCGTACTCCAACTACCCGGTCGGGTTCTCGGCAGCAAACGGCTACCCGAATACTGCACCTGCTCTAGGTACGGGTAACATCGCTACCCTACTACTGAAAGTACTACCGGTAACACCGGTACCCTACTACTGAAAGTACTACCAGAATACTGCACCTGCTCTAGGTACGGGTAACACCGCCACCCTACTACTGAAAGTACTACCCGAATACTGCACCTGCTCTAGGTACGGGTAACACCGCTACCCTACTACTGAAAGTCAACACATTTTCGGCGCATATTTATTTCCGGCTATTTTCGGCCTGATCATATTTGGCCGAAAACTAGTTCCGGCCGAAATTTTGTTTTTGCAAGGTTCAGTGTTTTTCGGCTGTCATTTTGTCTAGACGGTCTGCTGTTTTGTTTCTTGTTTGAGCAGAGTAGGCGTTGTTTGGCGCGTCCACAGTTGCTGCTCACTCAGGCTTTATGACATTTGCCGTTCCGCCACTCTGTATTGCTTTGCAAGTCCACTACACCCGTACACACACTGGGATACCAGCCAGCCGTGCAGTATTCAAAGGTGGTGAACTGTACACGGCCATACTCCCTAATATACTAGAGCTGGTTGTACCTGCCCAACACGAGGACAAGTCCTGCCCTCTCGTCCCAGTCCCATGGCCATACTCACTAATATACAAGAGAGAGAGAGAGCTGGTTGTACCTGCCCAATGCGAGGACAAGTCCTGCCCTCTCGTCCCAGTCCCATGGCCATACTCACTAATATATTAGAGCTGGTTGTACCTGCCCAACACGGGACAAGTCCTGCCCTCTCGTAAATCGGTAACCAACGATTTTCTCCCGGATGGCGAGGGATCCGGATAAAAGAGGACCGGATAACCGAGGGTTGACGTGTATTGCATATCCTCTATTTTAATTTTTTCAGGTGCCGTTCATCGCCCAGTATCGCAAGGAGTTCTACGAGCCGCAGCTTAGCGTCGACGACCTGTGGAAGATCTACGAATTCGACGAGAAGTGGTGCCAGCTGCAGAAGCGCAAGCGCAATCTCCTCCACCTGTTCGAGAACACGCAGCACTATCAGTTTGAAGTGGCGCGCCGAGACGAGCGGCTGCTCGAGAACGTCCAGACGATCGAAACGGAGGACCTGTCGCGGTGAGTTAGAGTTAGATTAGTTGGCTGCTGCTGCTGTCCTCGTTTGCGTGCTCGCGTACGTCTTTGAGTAGTGTTTGCCTTCGTCTTTGAGTGTTTGCGTACGTCTTTGATTAGTGTTTGCTTTCGTCTTTGAGTGTTTGCTTTCGTCTTTGAGTGTTTGCTTTTGTCTTTGAGTTGTTGCGTACGTCTTTGGGTAGTGTTTGCTCTCATCTTTGAGTGTGTGCGTTCATCTTTGAGTGTTTGCGTTCGTCTTTGAGTGTTTGCGTTCGTCTTTGAGTGTTTGCGTTCATCTTTGAGTGTTTGCGTTCGTCTTTGAAGCAATGACGGGCGGGTGTCTCGAGGCCGAATATGGCCCCGCATGGTGTAAATTTAAATTTACGGTTGATGCTGGTACTTGAAATGATGAGGCTGGTCGTACTTGTAATCGACACAAAGTTTTTATTACAACCAGCAAAATGTGAGAACAACAATGGACGAAGAACTCAACGCATTCAAAAGTATCACACTTGTAATGCTTTTGATAGTACAGTACGTGTAGTGCTTAACCCTTTCAGGGTCACAGTGCATTTACTACGTCTGGGCACTGAGATTCAGTGCATCAGTACAATTGTGGAGATAGCAACAAACAAATTGTCACAACATTATTGTTTCTCAACGGATTCTCACAATTTATGGCTTACTGGAAAGCTCCCTTCCTGATCGTCGTCTTCCATGTGCTTTCAGTGCATATAGCACCTCAAGGACGCCCCTAGCATCGCCAACAGTGTCCCTATCGTGCTCCAGGTTGGCATCAAGACCACGCACATCTATTTCCTTCGGTTTGGGGCTCATTCTCAACGTAGAACTACGATTCAAACTGCATCGAACTCGTGAGATTCAAGCGATTCAAACGGTGTACTCCTACGTCATGTTGCCTTTGACACGTCATTGGGATATCCCCTTGAATGACTTGAAAGTCGCAAAAAATCGCCAGACGGAAAGTAAGAAAAATGTTCAGATCGAAATCGCACGTTCAATTTATCGCCGCTCCATCATCTGTTGAGCTATCGCCACACCGAAAACACCTCTGGAAAGCCCTTTCCAAGACCATTCCAATGAGCCATTGATCATGGCGATGCGATAATCCGTTCCAGAGTTACGACTGTACAGTGATCTATCAGTGCGTACGGTACGTGGACTGTACAAAAAGTATAGCGCGAGTATACTCGTCATTGCCCAGACACGATGGGGTCTGCATGACGAGTATACTCGTCATAAACCCGGAAAGGGTTAATGAATGTCAGAATGCTCAGAGTGTTAGAGAATCTGAAATGTGTGCACCTACTGAGTGTTATACTATGTCGGTTTTTTTTGTCTCTGAGGAAGTTTATTAGTGTGTAGTGTCTGTCCAGTTTGTTTACGCCACTGTACATGTGTGTGTGTGTGTGTGTGTGTGTGTGTGTGTGTGTGTGTGTGTGTGTGTGTGTGTGTGTGTGTATGCGTGCGTGTGTGCGTGCGTGTGAGTAACCAATTGAGTCGTCTTTGCAAGATTCCTTTTGGGTCTCTCTCCACTCTCCCGGGCAGACCCACGTGACCAGTTTTGGCAGTGAGCAACAAGTACAAAGTGTGTGTGTATCCGTGTGTGTATCCGTGTGTGTCTGCCCAGTTTGTTTACGCCACTGTCCGTACATGTGTGTATATGTGTGCGTATGTGCGCGTGCGTGTGTGTACTGGCTCGTGTTTCTGTATGAACATACATAGTTTCAGCAGATTGAGTAGTTTCATATACTGATGGTGTGCATGCAATTTAGTGTCAACTCGTTCTCTTGTTTGGTTGTTTGTTGTTTGTGGTGGTGCTGGTGGTGATGTGGTGCTGGTGGTGTGCTGGTGGTGATGTGGTGCTGCTGGTGGTGTGCTGGCGGTTGTCGTGGTGGTGGTTGTCGTTGTTGTTGTCGTCGTTGTTGTATTATTTCCTTTGTGCTTTGCGTAGAGTGAATGGGGTGCTATCGACGGAGGAGCTGAAGGATGTCTACCAGCACTTTATGCTGCATCATAATCGCGAGGTGGTCGAGATGCAGAACGAAAGAACTGCCCATCACCGCGGAGAGAACGACCACCCGGACCCGGATAAGAACTCCGGTGAGTTGGCCTCTAGGCTGCTTGTACTTAGGTGTGCATGGGGGGGGGGGGGGGGGGGTACGTGTGTGGATGGTACATGGTGTGTGTGTGGGAGGAGGGTGGGGGGTACGTGTGTGGGAGGGGGGGGGGGGGGGTATGTGTCTTGGTTTGGAGCAGGGAGTAGTACAATACCGGGCGATGACACGGGCACACAAACCTGCGGACAAGGTTTGCCTCAGATCACTTTTCTGTGGAGCGCTGTTTCCCGGGTACGTCCCGGGAAATGGCGTGAAATTTCGTACTTTGCACACCATTTACCGTAGCATTTTCAAAATCTTTCAATAGAATGACTTCGAAAAGCTGAGGAGTTGTTTTCGAGAAGTTGGAAGTAATAGTTTGTTTATGCGCTGTAGGCAACGAATGCATCGGCTTTGCCAAGTGACGAGAAGGAATCCTACGAGGAAGGTCAAATTGCAGCCGGTCCTCACGCGGGTACCTTCAGTGCGTGCAGTATTTTACGTGGGCAGCTTGCAAGAGCCTGATTTCTCTAAAATATTTACTACTACGGTAAGTAGTTTGTTTATTTTCAGTTTATGCACGTCCTCATTTCTTGAGGGAGATAGACACAGCGACGCAAGTTCGTCACACTGCACAAGATATTTCAGGTATGACTGGCCGATTACCCTATTCCAAAGACAGATCATCAGAGACATTCATGCGACACAACATGAATAAACGTATGATGCCAAGGCAGCTACATGTACATGTATCCGCAGATGTCTATATCAGTGGGTACCAAGTAGGGAGTACTACAGTAGCACAATGGTATTGTGCCACTCCCTGGTGTTGGTGCCAAGAAACCTATGTTGCTCGGATTTTCAGTCAATGTGGAATTGTGTTCAACGTTACAAGTAATCAAGCCACATATGCCATGAAGGTAATCAGGTAAAACATGAACTGAGAATAAAGTACATTCGTGCGCACGTGTGTGTGTGTGTGCGTGCGTGTGTGTGTGTGTGTGTGTGCGTGCGTGTGTGTGTGTGTTGTATTTGCTAGTAACAATAATATATTTTAGCACTCAACACCATAAATGATAATATTCACGGAAAGACTTCCAAAGAGTTGCAACAAGTTGGAGAGCTGTTTTGGAGAAGTACCGGTAATATAAGAAGTTTATTGGTGCAATGGAACTTTGGAAACAAGCAAATGGCATCAGTTTTTTCCAAGTGACGAGGAGGAATCGGATGAGTTACGCCAAGTGGCCACTGTACCTCAGTCAGCCGGATGCGCTCAGCGTGTCCAGTATTTCGATGTGGGTAGCTGTCAAAAGAGTGATTTTAACCCTTTACCATCCGACCAAAATTCCCCAGCAGTCCCAAATGCAATAATTCTCACCTTATTCTGAGAATATCTTCGGTTCTAATCAACCAATTTTCACAACCTTGGGCATTCTGGAAAGCTCTCCACGAGCTGCGTACATTGAGCTCAAACAGGACACTACCTAGATCACATATCCAGCGCCAGGGAGCTTCAAATACACCCCATCGCTGGATATACGAGGAAATTCTCTCCTCGCCAGCCATTTCTCGCTCCTTCATCGTAAACATTCCAATTTTTTGCTTGAGTTTCTTTTCATGCTGCCCACACGCTCAAAGCATGCCAAAGTGACTCAACATGTCAGGAGAGGGGAAAATCCCCGCTCAAGGTCAGTCACTCGGAAAGAAATTCGACTTTTGCCGTAGCTGAAATGTCGAACGAAATATCTTTGGAATGCGACATCGCAGCTCTTTACCGATTGGTGCAATGGAAAGCGGAGCTCTTCGGCTTCTTCCTAGATACTTAGTTCTTTAAATTCCGACAAGAATCGATCGAGTTACGAATGTTTTAGTGTATGCATGTCCATCGATCTCTAGAGATCGATTCAAGTACGCACGGATGGTAAAGGGTTAACAGAATTTAGTTGGTTGACTTTTAGTTCTTCATGTTCTTATTTCTCTTTTGGCTATACATCACCAGATTATTTGGTTCAGATCATTCCAAAGTTTGGAACAGATCTGGTGGTGGCAGCTAATGTATCTCGTAAAGATGATGATTATCAAACTGTTGTTGATAGCATTAGCAGCAATTATGATGGTGATGACAAGCGTCATGTGGACGACTTGAGTTACTGGGCAACTCCCTTATTCCAGAAGCTTCATGCTCTGTGAAGCTGGCCTTGCGTGCAGTTTGCTCTGTGAAGCTGGCCTTGCATGCAGTTTGCTCTGTGAAGCTGGCCTTGCATGCAGTTTGCTCTGTGAAGCTGGCCTTGCATGCAGTTTGCTCTGTGAAGCTGGCCTTGCATGCAGTTTGCTCTGTGAAGCTGGCCTTGCATGCAGTTTGCTCTGTGAAGCTGGCCTTGCATGCAGTTTGCTCTGTGAAGCTGGCCTTGCATGCAGTTTGCTCTGTGAAGCTGGCCTTGCATGCAGTTTGCTTGAGAAAGGCAGTCTTTACTTGTTATTTAAGACATTCTCGTACACGATACGGCGGTTCGGAGGCATCGGCTTCTGATGACATGTTCTGTGTAGTATGCATACCAAAGAGAGAACAGCCATGTTATATTTAACATCAATCCTTCTAAATGGTTGATGGTGGTAGAACTGTGTAACTAGCCTTGCCAGATGAGACCTATTCTCATTGTTTATACGTGGGGGCTCTTCCACACCAGGGTGCGCTGTGCACCGTGCAGAATTTACAGCCTAAAAAGTTGTTTCAGTATACTATTGTAGTTCAAGTATCATACTACAAAATCGCGCAATGCAGTGTGGCATAGACCCTTCTCAGGACTAGTAATATTACTCAACATGCTAGGACTACACAAATACACACCAATATCCAAACACAAAATGCATTGAAATACTGATGCTATTTGAATTTCCTTATTTTTGGGCAATGCGTCAAGAAGGCAGACTTTGCAGCCATACCGAAGGCTTCACTCTTTCTCTTCTGCCCATGTGTTCAGCAAGTAAACAGAGCAACAAAGCCTGGCATCATTGAATGTTGAAAACAGGTGATCTTGAGCATATTGTACATGATCTTGAACATAGTGTTCAAATCCATACAACTAAATTAGTTGTGAAATTTCAAAACGAGTTTTCCAAAGTGTTGCTGTCTCTAACACGTTGAAATGAAGTAGAATGGAAGACAAATAGGTATAGTTTCGACATATCCCAGCTTGGTGGGGTGTTCGAGAGGGTCGAAATGAGAAATTCAGGTTTGTGTTACACCATGTCAAGATGAGAAAATTCCATCACGTTACTTACCTAAGATAGCATCCTCGATATTCGTCACCCCCATCCATTTTGGAGAGTCATGACTTGGCAGCAGTGTGGACGATGTACCAGACTAGCTTCCAAAAAGGTCTCGACCAGAAAAAATGAAGTTTCAGCTTGTCACGAAGGGATACGTCTGGTCTTCTCGTCACAAATTTGAGGTTCTCTCAGCATTGTCAAACACACAAAATTTGAATTTTCGCGCGGTTTCGTCCTTTTCGTGAAGCAAAGCTCGGAAGTCCGGTTATGTGCCCGTGTCATCTCCCGGTATTGTACTACTCCCTGGTTTGGAGGGGGGGGGGGAGTGATGTGTGTGTCCCCCCCCCCCCCACACACACACGCCGACGCACGTACCCAACCACACACGCCGACGCACAAACATGTAGAGAGAGAGACAGAGACTGGCACTAGCAGCTGACCTCTCCGTGCTGTAAGCAACGAAAGAACTGAGAGTGAGTGACAAGGAAGGCAACATCTCATGGAGGCAGTGGCCGAAATTGGTACTCTACATGTAGCTCAGCAGACTACCGTATTTCCCCGGTTATGAGTCGCGTCCTGATTTTCAGATTTTCAGATTTGAGCCGTATTGTTTCAATATATTCACATAGGTAGGATGTCACACTCGATTGTAAGTCTCATTCCACTCTCTTCTTTTCTCTCTCGCTCTCGCTCTCTCTCTCTCTCTCTCTCTCTCTCTCTCTCTCTCTCTCTCTCTCTCTCTCTCTCTCTCTCTCGCTCTCTCGCTCTCTCTCTCTCTCTCTCTCTCTCTTTGTGCAGGCTTGAAGCGCGCTCAGAAGCGCACCTTCTACACGGTGTGTCGCGACGCCGGCCTCTCCGGCCTCGCTGACAGATTTGGCCTGACGCCAGCCCAGCTCGGATCCAACATGGTTAACTCGTATCAGCGCTATGAGGTGCAGCAGTGCACTGTCGAGCCGAATGAGATCGCCGCCGAGTACACTGGAGGGTGCGTTGCTCTCTTCTTCTCTCTCCTCTCTGCTTTTGATGACTTTTGGGGAGGGGGGCTGTGCATAGGGTTTTCTGCTGATGGTGATGCTGCTACTGTTCGTGACCCTGGCATCATTGGTGCACCGTTCGTGTTCTTAGCATGGCAGGCGTATCACACGCCTTGTGCCGGGCTTTATTGTGTGTGTGTGTGTGTGTGTACAAAAATGGAAAAAATGAAAAATGAATAATAGGGATTCATTGGCCAGAAAAAGCCACTTCAAACAGCTGTGTGGTGGATACCAGGCTAAAATTAGTGGCGATCAATTCTGCAGCCTTGCAAGCTGTTGAATGGTGCAATCCCAGCACAAGTTGCTATGTAACATAGCTGTTCGCTATCATCGCTTCAGCGATGGGCATGTCTAAGCCTAAGTGTGTGTGTGTGTGTGTGTGTGTGTGTGTGTGTTATTGTTGAACAGAACATCATGTTCACATTAATATTGTTCCTTTCTTCAGTCGTTGCATGTTATAGTGGACCTACAGCAGACTGTTCATCTGGTTTGTGATATTTCCTTCCTCTGTTTGTGAGTCCCTTTCCATCAATATGGCAGCTTGTTGTGATTTCCTTTTTTTCAATTCAATTTGCTGTACTTTCTGTTTTGTTTGCGCCACTGCCCCTCACCTTGCGCTCAGTTCTCTGAGTGGAGGGCGGCGTGACCCCAAGGGGTAGCTGATTGATAGTAGTAGTAGTAGTAGT